TATTTGCTTCCATACATTACCCAAGAACCAAACACTATAATAACTATAAGCTTTTTCAATATCCTTGTACGTACAAAGCTATTCGGTTCTCTATACACCGTTCTTTCAGTGGTAGCTTATTACGATACACTTTAGTAATGTTAGCATACATCATTATGCGTGTTCGCCGTCCAGCCAGCCATGGAACATACCACCGACGAACGTAAGAACATCCTTTCAACAACACACAAACAGGGACATACTTATTACTGTAAGAAAATGGCCCTAGGGGCCCACACGCAATATTTTAATAGGTCACTTATAGTAAATGAGCTCACGAATAGGTTGGAAATAGAGACTTCAAATTTACATCGTTACAATGTGTTACTTTTTATTGAGGTAGGTACATTGATATGACATCGTAACTTCATCGCGATAATTAAAAACACTAATTCTACAGGGCGATACCGTTGATGTCTTTTATTGGAGAAGTGAGCAATGAAGATCTACAAATCAATCTTCACATCAGTTATCGAGATCGATAGAGGCGTTTACTCACAAAAGCAACATAGGTACATTCTTACATTGGACACGCTAATTACCGAAACTTTAATAGAAATATTGAAGAGGAACCATGTATGATTTATGTATAGTGGTCGGTTTTGAATGTTAATTATTATTAAATTGACGCTTTCTGCCGTCCGCGAAGTAAAACGTGGCTAAATTCAAATTCAAAATCAAATTATTTGATGATATTTCAACTATGCATCGTTAGGGTCAGTTCCTAATTAAGTTAACTAATTTTAACTGTTTTTAAAAGAGAATTTTGTGCTCTTATTAATATATTTGTCACTTAGCCCCGTTTTAGTTAGTGGACAGCAGCTTTGTACAAGTACATCCGCAATTTATCTTGTATTTATATCGAGGCCCCCAAATTTAAGACCCTATTCACCACCCTGAACATACCGATCCTGTTTCGACGAATATTAATAAAGGGCTCTGTGACGTCGTCACTGTTTTCTTTATGGAAATGATATCTACACAAGGAGTCTGAAGCACGCTGCAAATTCAAATAACCCTTACGTATGCTTCCGAATCTGAAGAAAAGCAAAGTAACTTAGACACTAAGTGGATTCTAGTTAGGGATGAGCGACTTCATGATGTCACACGTTATTTTCTTATTTCAGAATACGATCAAATCTTTGATCTAACTCACAGTTGACAATGCGTTGGAATAAATCCAATGTGGCCAAGACTAATGGAAGTTTGCTAGTTAGAAATTTTAGAGGTCGTGTTCCATTGTTTCCATTATAAACGTACGCCGGCGCCATAAAGCTTTATAAACACCTAACTATACAATATTACCCATCCCATATGCCTTACTTCGCATACACCGTTGTTGCTCGGTAATTCCCGCAATCAACTTTATAATAAATTAACGCCATTAATAAATTATTCCCAGTTTCTAGATTAATCTAGAAGTCGGGCCGCAGTCCGATGCGGCCGCTCTTACATTATTACAGCATTCATTAGAGTTCGCTAATTACTCCTTGCTTTAATGAATAAGCTCTAATGAACCACTTTCTGTTAATTAAAGGCGGCGTGGGGTGGGGGCGAGGATGCGGGGCGTGGGTGCGGGGCGAGCGCGCGGTGGAACTTTTCTCCGGGCTCTGATTGCAAATGTGAATTTGTGTAAGTCTGAGTGGAAAGAATGTTTCTGAAAAGGGGTAATGAGGCGGTCGAGTGGGGCCGAATTAGTTGCAACTGCGCCGCTCCTAATTATGATTCGCACGCCAAATTGTAGACTTTATGATGATTAGATACTTACGTACTTGCAAGGTTTCACTCGAAGCCAACGGAGACAGAGATAAACACAATTTATCATAATTGTGTTGGTGTGCTAATTGTTTGGATTAAAGTTTCTAGGGAGCTACTTGAGATTGTTTAGATTAGACCCTACGGCCCACGAAGCCAAGCGATTATTGGACAAGTCGAAAAATGGGGTAGTCTAACCGAAAACGGTTCCAAAAGTAGCACTCTATACACTGAGATTTATAAAACGAATTTTGATTTCGACTAAACAAAAAACACTTTTTTCGTGTTTACAAACGAACTTTACCAAAGTTTAAGCACTCCCCGGACACTCCACACAACAGTCGAAAATTATTTACCTATTAGTAAGTACTACATACCGCAAGGCGCTATCTGCACACGCGCAAATGTGCGCGTGAAGTAGCAGGGTTACCTATCACTTGCTTGCACATGTTACGTGATCAGATCGGCAACATAGCGAAAATTCTAACGCCAATCTGTTATCTATAATTCTATTATAGAATCCTAATAATTGCACATGTTTATTACGTATTTATATCGATATAATATTATATTTTTCATTAATTCACTAAGTAGAAAAAAATTTAATTTTTAAAATAATATGGAAAATTTATTTTAAAAAATATATTAAAAGCACTTAAAATGTTATATTTTGGACAGGTGCCTTAAGGTAACCAAAGTATTTGAAATTGCGTGTCCAACTTTATCATTACCTAGTTAATAATTTGGTATATTCACTCTTCGATTCCAAAAACGGACACTGGCAGAATTGAGACTAAGTAGTCTCAAAAGCCATTCACTAAGAAAAAAAAAGGTATATTCACAATGTAATATTTATCGGCAATACAAATTGAAAATTCGAGAACCCTTGTCCAGCTCACGAAGTTATATAATTAATCTGTATTATATAATTAATATTTTAATATTATCATATTTTCAATTATAACATTTAATAAATTGCCTACATAGCATTTTGTAATAGCAACATATCTATTTTTAATTAAATTGACTTTTATATAATAATCACTTAAAATTTCAATTTATAATTTGGTTATATTATTAACATAGTTAAATCAAATCAAAAAAATATTATTTATTATGTTTATATTATAACTCCTCTCTTTATCCCGTTTAAATAATTACAAACAGCCGTACACAGCACAATTCACAACCATTATAAATAGTAACGTAAAATGATGTTATATATTCACGTACTAATTTCGTAATGAATAAATGAAAACTATATTCAAATATCAAAGCCGTCTTAGCCATAGACATAGGGCCTGGCGTGAAAACGGCTCGCCGACAGCCTTGTTCTCGTTCAGTCAATCTGAGTGTGTATCTAAAGCTAACGAGGGCCGGACAGTGTCCGCTCTCGTTACTTATTTGTTCCCTGGTTTAAGCAAAAAATTACGAAACAAAGTCATTTAATTTAGTAGCAGTACTAGAGTTCCATGCGGAAATAGATAAGGTGGCAATACTCCCCTAGACGAACCCTTTCACAAAGAGTTCTACTGTTACTGTGCTGGTGACATTACAGGCCACGAGACTGGTCAACTTATGTCTCAGGATAACTATAGCGCAGTGGCAGTACCCCTCAGATCTTTGTGATTTAAAGCTCCCATGGCACTGCAACTGCTATGAACAGGCGTGCCGGATTTTACTACTTTTTCATCCCGTCACTTGGTATTATAAAAAACACGAAAGTTATCGAGTTCTTAGGTTTTCGCGATTGTTACAAATAGAAAATGAAACTATTTTTCCAGATTTATATCGCGTACGTTTGTTTTTTCAAACAAACCAACGTTTCACGGCTAACGAAAAAATAGTCTAATATCCTACGAAAAACTTAACTCGCAATTTTTAATTAGTCAAAATTCGTTTTATAAATCATGTCCTAAGGATTTTTTAGTCCTACTGTACCCTAATTCATACAATGTACGTCAACAGCACATCAGACTACACATTTTTGTTCTAAAATCGCCTCCAGTGCAACGGAACAAGATACGTCAATGTATAGCTTGATGTGTACATTCGTAAATTGAACAATGTTATTGAGTTCTTAGGTTTTCGCATTGACTATGAAACTATTTTTTCGAATCTAAACGTCGTATTTGAATTTATTTCAAAGAAACCAACATTTCGGGCGCTTTGCAGGTCTAAAGTCATGCTTTGCATGCAAACGTTTTGGTTTGTTTCAAAAAACAAACACATTAACGCCATTTAAACAATTTTGTCATTCTAATTACACGTGACATTAGTGAATCCTGTAACTATGTACTTGCTTAGGTAATTACTACCTACTTCATTAAAAAATCACAATTTGCATATCAAATTAAAATGCAACATGTACATAAGTACATATGTAGGCATATAAATATTGAACAGTTTAGTTTTCCTAATGCAATTACAAGACAAGTGCGAATAAATGAATAACGAAGCAATGACAGCGTTTTTTTAAATGGATTTAATATGAAAATATGGTTTCGACAAAATTACACGAAGCTAGATAAAGCGTGGGATGCGGTAAATGGCTACATCAGTGTTCATTTAATGATTATTGTGATACACGCTTGTCTCAACATGCTGTTAGGCAGTCCAGACTCCCTACTTACTAAAATCATGAAAAGCACCCTTGGTGCTTCGGAAAAATGCCAACTTTTCCAGGAAAAGGTTTGACGATCCTACGAACGAACTTAGTCGATAATTTTTTTAAGCTTAAGTAGGAGTTTTAACATTACACATACACATAATTTGTTTCATATAGTTCATATTGATTTTATGCCTTTCATGTGATAAATAGTACAGAGTAGGTACTAAAAAAACCGACCGCTACATACATAAAAAAAACATAATGGAATTGAGAACCTCCTCTATGCTTGGTATAATAAAACTACATGTCGTCGTAAGTCAAAACTGCTATTTTTAACCGTTTATTTTTAAAATATCTAGTGCAAATGAGACCATTAACGTAGTACGCCTCTAGGACGTGTAGGTTTCAAAAGTCCAAAAGGCACACAGGAATCTGATGAAAGAATTAGACCATTTGACTAAGACACTAGTAACAACATGATAAGTTACGAAAATTGCGCGGCGGGCTACGCATGCGCATAGTCAATAAGCGTGAAAACTCAGGATTAACTAATAGGACCATCGCTTCGTATAAAACGATGAGGTGTATGTATCGGGCATCACATACAAAGGACTGCTCGTCTAGTAACGTTATCCTTACCCTGAAAATATGTTCAACTTCATTGTGGTGAGTAATTGAGAATTTATTTATTTAAAAGATGTGGATAGAACTGTATTAATTTTTATAGTCGCTTTACACGAACGTATTATTTGCATCGCGGGCCTACGAAATATACTTAAACAATTGCGAGATTCAATGGCATTTCCATCGCAAATTTTTTTTAAATAACTTTTCTTATAAAAAACCGTTATCAATGTGTGTTTGTGGAATTACATCTATTTGCCAAGTTTTATTTAAATCAGATAACGAAAAGTGGGTGAAATCCAATAAACCTGATTCATCCTCCAATTTGCCACTGTTAGAAGTGGAATATTATCTTCAATGAGACTACAACTAAGGTACTCCCTTTCAAAGAAAAAAGAATTATCGAAATCGGTTCACTAATGTTGGAGTAATCGCGTAACATACACACAAAAAATACAGTTAAATTGAGAACCTCCTCCTTTTTTTAAGTCAGTTAAAAAAGGGAACATAATGTTTTCTTTTGGTGGTAAATATTCTATTCTAATCTGAATGCGTTCAATACTATTTGTGTAAATGCTATATTTAGGGGTCCATATAACACTGCCAAATTCAAGTAAGCTACGCACGTATGCATTATACACTCTTTTAATGCAGCATGTATTTTTGAAAGGTTTGCACACTCTCATAACGAAACCCAGGCTCCTGTAGCCTTTATCAATAACAGAGACAATGTGTTTATCAAATAACAGTTTACTATCAAGCGTTTCACCTAAATCACAGTCTTGATTTACCGTCTGCACCTGTTTACCATTGTTCGAGTAGCAGAACGAAATTGGTTTGGTGACTAAATGTGATTTGTACACATTTATCTATTTTTACGTCGATACGGTTTCGCACATAATATAGCCTTTATATGTAGCAGTCGTAGCAACAGTGGTAGCAGTCGGTAATTGAGTTCACCTTCAAGAAAACTTTTTTGTCATACAAAAGTAATCTCGAGTTCGCGAAGCAAGTATGTATGTCGCGATCTTTTTTTTGTCGTAGAGATACGCGTTACACAGAAGGGGCCCTAAATGGGATCCTTGCGGCACTTCCGATGGAATACCTACATAGTTAGATTTATAGCCTCCAAGAACTACTGTTTGTCACCTGTTAGAAACGTACGATTTTACCCAGCGCAAAAGGTCTCCTTGTATGCATAATGTATGCAATTTTCTCAACAGTATAACGTGATCCACACGGTCGAAAGCTTTTTAAAATCCGTACAGATCACGTCAACCTGCGAGCGTTTATCCATATTTCTGAGGATCATGATACGATATTTAATAGAATACTTAAAAAACAAAGGTGGTAATAAAAAAAAATACTTTTATTTAATTAAGGCTGCTAATAGACAGACTGTGTGCGCTTAATCAATATGTATTGCATGCAGTCGCAACAGACTGCATGCAGTTGACATAGATTTCAAGCAATTATCGCCGCGCACCTATTTCACTAGCTCAGTGTATTTGTTGATGTCGAAATGTAAGTTTATCACTGTATGTAGAACACATCCCGACTGCACGCATTAACTGCAGATGTGCAGTCCATCTGTTGGCAGCCTAAGGCAGCACAGCAACAGCATTAATGACAGACACAAATATTAAATTGAAGTACTAGATGACTTGTTAACTTTTTGTGTATTTACTAAAACGATATTTGCAATACTCTTGTGGTTTATGTTGTTTTTCAGATTGCTTGCGTGCTCGGAGCGGCGACTGCAGCGCCCTCCTGGCCTCTGGCTCCCACTGCCCCTATCGAAGTTGATTCCATGGTAAGTCAATCATCCAGGACGGATGCTGTGTGTAGTACCGACCTGAATAGATTATTTATTTTACAAAAAGTTGTCATATATGAGCACTATAATTTGCTGAAAACTTTAATTTTTAACTTTGCGTGGAACCTTTTTTTTTTCATAATTTTTACACCTACATTGCATTTCTATATTGTGCACTGTCTCCGGAACTTCCTCTTAAGTTCCCGAAAGCTACGTATCGTATTTGTACAATAGTAATATCGAAACATTGCATTGTGTTTCTTGTTCCAGTCGGTACCTCGTTACAACTTCAACTACGCCGTGAACGATCCTTTAACTGGCGACAAGAAGGCGCAAACTGAAGTTCGCGACGGCGGCTACGTCAAAGGCTCCTACTCACTATCCGAACCCGATGGCACCTTGAGGGTAGTGGACTACACCGCTGATCCAGTGGCGGGATTCAATGCTGTAGTAAAACGAGTGGGTCTAGCTGCCCACCCGCAGCAGTTGTTGGCTCCTGTTATTACTAAACAAATTGTGGCCCCTATTGCCCCGATTGCCTCGCACCTCTTAGCCGCCCCTATCATAACCGCCCCAGCTATGTCAAAGCTTGGGGGCTTCGGTCGGGAATACGATTACGGCCTAGACAGCCGCGGGCTGGGCTTAGGAGGTTATAACCTAGGACTCTCTGGTTATGATGGTCTTGGGGGGTTGGGCCTATGGAAATACTAGGCGGATAGAAATCTACGCTCGCAATTTTAATACCAACAACATTATGATTATGAACTATTGCGTTGTCGCATATGAATTATAATGAATGTGGTGTTTCATGTATTTCACAAGCGAAACGTCAATAGTATTTAAAGCAGAACGAATGAATTTATAATGTAAATAAATAAATATTTTTACAGAATATTTTATCGGTTTATTTTCTTATACCATTTATTGAACAGAATCAACGTACAACACTTTTACTACACATTTATTATATAAATAAAATAACAGCGACACATTCATATTTAAATGCACGTACTCGTATATTTGAACGGTTGAGTCCCATAACCCGAGAACACTTTCGGATACTGTGACACAGACAAACGTCCCAAAGTACAGACCATGAACCCAATAATTACAAACTAATAAAATTATATTTAATTTTCCAGCAATGTTTGCATGGTGAACAACTCAGGAGATCTATTTTTATTTCGACTCCGAGCCATCTTAAGTGTGTGACCAATGCGTCAGGAATGATTCAAAAACTGATTGCCAACAACATATACAAATACTCTCTCTCGCGGTATTGGGGCACGGAGGGAAAGTACTTTAAATATTGTAGATAGGCTTTTTGGCGACATAGACACACCACTTTATTTTTTTAAGTAAGTAATACTTCATTCAAAGATTTTGCAAGAGTATCTTGCCTCATCTGGGAATCGAACCGACCAAACGTTAAAAAACATCCTGTATTTTTATGCTATCGAACGAAAGGGTCAATAATTAACGGAATGTAACTCACACATAACAGTAAGCAAGGCTCATAACAGTCGGGAACAGCAGGGTCTTTACTTGTTTTTCTTCCTGTCAACTTTTTAAGTCTTATTTTTTGGTCATTTTGTTATTTTTGTAAATGGCTATATTTATTTACAAATATTAACCCACCGAATTTTGTGACAAAAAGAAACAAAAAACAAAAAAAAACTAATTTTGTGGAAAAAAAAAAAGAAATAAAAAACAAAATAAAAACATAACTGGTCCAAAAATTTAATTGGCGTAGTATTCATTGGAGGTATCGTTTTAAAAATAAAATAATGTTTTCTTGAAGCAAAATATCTTGTCTACAATATTTAACTTACTTTCCTCCTTGTCCCATACTTGTGGTTAGGCAAATTATAGCCTGGTCGATTGCTACTTTACCAATCACGCTTTACTTACATTCATCATTCTTTTCATTCAAACCCTCATATTTTCTTAAACACTCCCCTTTTTAAGTACATTCTCGATCTGATATAAGAACATCTTTCGTAGCCGTTGCCTTCCACGGTGGCTCTACATATCTCTTTCGCCACTCTTTCATGGATCACAGTATTGTTCACTCTGACCTCTTACCTGAATTTTACTGCATTCACCATACTCACTCCCATACGTCAATGTTGCAACCTAATAAGCATTATGCACAGTTATTTGAGCCTTCTCAAACCCAACTATTGCAACTGATGCACATTAATCCATTTGTAGCTCGGTACACAGCGTTTTCCTTATTGACTCTTACCTGCTCATCAATTTCAATTATGCACTCTGTCATACTACTATTTCTTTGCAACACCATTACTTTAGTTGTATCGCTCTCATTTCCCTTCTTTCGAACGATGAAAATGTTGGAGTCATCATCTCCTGCAACTCTTTAACAGATGTCGCAAGTAGTACTTCAGCGTCGGCGTACGAAAGGCATTTAATGATGAATTCACCCATTCTCTAACCTTTATCAATATCATGCAACTCAATGAAACAATCGTCCATGAACAGATTGTAGAGCCACCACGGTGACGATTTACGTCCTTGTCGGACAAATAAATAAATAAATAAAGAATACATATTGGAAACATAATAGCATTATATTAACATTAATTTTATTTTCTATGATCCAAACTTCAGAGCCATTCGAGTTTTTAACGTAATTTAAAAAATAAAGTTAGGTAATACACACGCATGACATTAATTTTCTCGCTTATGAATGCGCTACTGCAATTAAAATTGTAACTTATGTGCTAAGAAATAAGATTAAATGTGACATTTACATTTGAATAATTGGGACAACGTAACTGTGAAGCAATTAAATGTTTACCTTAACATTTTACATATAGATTTTACATATTTCATGTGACGTTTTACCAGGCTAAAGAGCTTTGCTATAAGCATTATAGTTGCCTGTTTTCGTAAAACTTGAATGACTCCAAAGCTTGGACTTTAGAAAGTAGTACTGTTCTTATGTCATCATGATGTCGTTCACGCTTTTAAATTGGATTCTTAATACTCGTGTAAATAAAAGGTAGGATACAAAAATGCAAGGGAATGTAGATAGCTCAGTGTCGGCTCTCGCCGAAAAGCCAGAGGCAGAGGCGATCCACCAGATACGCAAATACCATGTCGGCTATCAGCACTTGTACGAGAACCAGCCGATACTGTAAAAGAAAACATAGAAAACATTGCTTATTGCCTATACAAAAGTAATTACTTAATTAGTATGTGTAAGCAAAAAGCTAAATCAGAATAAACATTGAAGTAAACATTTCAAGAAGAATTTGTGTGCACAATAAATGATACAGGGTGCAATCGTTAGAGCCTATGCACACAGCATATTTTATACGCGCCGACGCGACGCGCGTCATCTGCGCTTATACGCGCTACAGACGCGCTGTAGTCGCGCGTATCGCACATTTTGTTAAAAGATAGTTTTAATTTTAGTTTTGTTTGTTAATTTCAGTTAGTTTTTTGAAATGAATCAACTATGAATGAAATTCTAAGTGTAAACTTCAGTAGAGAGTACATATAAGCTTTTTGCTTACAACGCGATGTTTGCGCGCGTTTGAGTCGATCGACTAAAGCGCATTTTCGACGCGTATACGTGCAGATGACATGCGTTTACGGCGACGTAAACGCGCTATTGCACACCCGTATAAAATACGCCGTGTTCATAGGCTCTTAAGTGTGCCCAGGCTATTATTTCGTAAATATAAAAGATACCAAAAACCTTTAAATTGATATCGAAAGTACGTTACCTAATGAGTAAAACTACATCAATAACTTTTTAAACATAAAACTAGAAATGTCCAAAAATTTAATGTTAAACGCTCCCACACATTTAATATGACATTCACAAAGATAGTTATTGTAGTACTTCTTGTACAAAAAGATGGCAATATACTCACGTCAGGCGGAAAATAGACTATCTCGAACATGTTGGAGAGGTCTGGGAAGATCCCGGCAGCCAGCGCCAATACTACCCCACCGGACACCACAATGCTGTACAGTAAAGGCTTGTTGTCGCGCAGGCCTTCCATAAACGGCTCGCCCTGGAAATATCAATAATAATTTGTAATAAAAAATATAGATTAGATACAGATTCACCGTAAATTGCCTTCTACGAGGCATCAGGACTGGAGAACTCGACAGAAGATGAGTATTGAAAAACAGTAAATAGCTATTATAAGCTTTAAAGGAAAAGTTTACAGAATATTTACTACAGTTTGTGCCATTTAAGAGTGTCTATAATGGTCGTTGACCCGACTTTCATGCCAAAGACACAATTCGACAGCGACGGACTGCCGATCCCTATGAATGAGGTCGTTGCCCGATTAACATAATCGAATGCAATGCTATAATTAGAAAAAAAAAGTAAAATTCAGGCATGTTATTCTGTGAATTTATATGCTGTATATATATCACATTTTTAATGTTATAAGTAATTATAAATTATAATATTTATTATCATTTAAATGATATACAACTTTAATGATAATGAAACATGAACATAATGAATTTCGTTAAACTACCACTACGCATTAAAACTAATAAATTAAAAATTCAGTGCATAATTCAGTTTCTTTAACTTCAAAAATACATAGACTCAGTATAGAGTACTAAAAAAACCGACCTCAGAAGTCATTCATCACCTAGTTTGTCTCCCTTAGAGGTGGAATATATTCTCCTAACATAAATGGGACCACTTCTGAGGTACCCTCTTTCCAACAAAAAAGAATCATCAAAATCGGTTCATAAATTTTATCCGGAGTTATCGCCTAACATACATACAAAAAAAACGTTCAATCGAATTGAGAACCTACTCCTTTTTTTAAAGTCGGTTAAAAAGTCAAATTTGAACTTATTCTCGTTTTTTTTACTTGTTGTGACTATTGGGTTTTTAGCATAGATTGTTTGCAAAAGTAAAGGCAAAATATTTAATCAATATGTCCCTGAGGACATCTATTGTACGTCAAGTGACTTCTATCAAGTTACATTTACACTATCACTTTTGCATGTAACTGGAAAACATAAAACATAGGAGATTATCGTTATCACAATTAAGGTGCACAGTGGTAGGGAGGGGTGAATGATCGCTTTACTAGTACCTACTGAATATAATGATCAATTCTTTTTTAAGATTTTTAAATTGTTCTAATGGAGAAGTAAAACATTTTAGACACCTGCTTATGTGATAGCAGAAGAAGGCGTCTTAAGTCTCCAAGCAAAAATAGTTAAACGTGGCAACTATAGCCACTCTCCTTAGAGGAAACCTATACCCAGTAGTAAAAAGTTTATACAAATAAATAGTAATGAGAGCATATTATTCCATATTCACTGTAACAATTTAAAATATAAAATATTATTTGTATAATGTCGTTATATTACTCACTCTATAGTTGATAGCGAATGTAGATATCTGGAGGGCCATAGAGATGATGTATACAGTGCTATTTAATAGATCCGGGGAGAACTGACGTTCTTCATCGTCTGCTAGGTCCATATCTAGTTTCGGCTTTGGATCTCTGTGCAAAAATCGTTGATAAAGATTAGAATGGTTGGTAAACTTACAAGACAGATGCAAAACTAATCGTCGTAATAAAAATAAAACATCGGGTTTAAGATGCTCCATAGCCACAATAAATTCACTTTTTAAACACACAAGTTCTGATATGAAACATTTTTTTTCAAATCTGTAAATACATGGTAAATAAAAATTCGGTTACCTGCCAGGAGAACGAATAGTAGCTTCATGCACCAAGTAGATGAGGCAGAGGAAATGAACCATAAACTGTGTCAGCACTGTTATAATTGTGTACACATTGAAAATGTTAGGCAGCGGACGCTGTTTTGACAGATGCTTTAAAGGCTGAAAATAATAATAGCAAAGTCGTATATTTAACACCAAATATTAAACAATATTATTAACAGACCTTAAAAAAAGATTATTAAATGAAAAAAAAAAATGAGTACATAATGTTATTCAAAACAACGTCACATTCATTAACCCAAATAAAGTTTTACAACTTCATCATATCACAAATCTTCATTGTTATAATTTTAAAAAACAAATAGGATATTTCTTACCTTCGACCTCGATATGAACAAGAAACACGAAGCCAATAGCAGGCTTTGAAGTGTGGCCTGTGTATCGCTAAACTTGATGCCATCAATGTAAAGAACCGATTGACTGTAAGCCAGGATGAGCGCGTTCAAAGCTAGGATCTTGAACATCTGAAGTGTGGTTACCAAGGTGCATCGCCCTTGCTTGATTATGTGGCAAACTAAGCGGAAAAAGTAGTTGGTCAGTGAAAAACCTAGTGGAGTTCATTTCGGACTCATGTAAAATCAATTGTACTTTTTTGATAGACAAATCACCGAATGTGTGCTTCAGCATATCGTTGTCCCGTATACGTATTGGTTGTAACAACGTCTTGTAAGTAGTTTTCACTAGGCTAGAGACATACATAGACAGAGACACCTTACCTATTTCTGCCGCCAAGCAGTAATGTGAACTTTACTACGTTCCGGTTTCGAAGGGTAGGGGTGCTGGTAAAATTACAGGCACATGGGACTTGCCAACTTATGTCTCAGGATGTCGGGCGCAGTGGCAGTGCCCCTCAAATCTTTGTGATTTAAAGCTCTCAGTGGCGCGGTAACTGTTAGGGACAGGCGTGTCGCTTACCAACGGACGTACGACTTGTTCGTCCTGTCACTTGGTTGTATAAAAAAACTTATAGTTCATCACCCTGCCCGAGAGTACAAAGTAATATCGAGTTCTTAGGTTTTCACGATTGTTATGCATAGGAAATGAACTATTTTTCCGAATTTAAATCGCGTATATTTCTTTTCTCAAACAAACCAACGTTTCGGGCCCTTTACAGGTCCCATGGTCACGGTTGACTGTCATCGCGATTTAAATCCGGAAAAAGTGTCATTTCCTAAGTACAAAATAATTTGTACACTAAAAAAGGCTAAGTTATTAAAACTTACTGCAAAGAATACTGGAAAGTCGGCTAGTAAATGGCGCCGCAACACTAGCGTCTCCTAGTCTCACAAGCTGTAGATGTTCTTCCTCCTCCATCTGGCGGATGACATGACGCAGCCGCGCGGTCGTGTCATCTCTGGTCGCTTGACGCGCCTCAGCACGATTTGCAGGTGGCCGCCGCGGCTCTACCTCCTGTGAGCGTTCCTCGCGAACTCTTTCACGAGGTCTCTCTGGGGCATTCGCCAGGATTGCCACACCAACCTGTACATTTATAATTGATCTTTAATATTAATTAGTAAATAAAACTTTCAATGGTACAATTGTAAGTCTTATATTTGGTTACAAAAAGTTCATTGATGTATTATTATTAGTATGAATATGATCAATCTGACATAACTAAGACATATTTCCCAATGGTAAATATCAGCTACCAACGCAGATAGGCAAAATTTACGTTACTTACATCAGCATGCTTAAGAGCTCCAACATCATTAGTTCCATCTCCACACATTAATGTAACATATCCAAGTGACTTCAATGTCAATATGACAAACTCTTTCTGTTTCGGCGCAAATCTGGCGTACACTTTAATGTGAGGCATGAGGTCAATTAGAAATTTATTATGATATTCATTCAGGAATGAAAGACCTTCTCCAGTGATGCACAAATCGAACTTAGAAGTCAATCCTTTGGATGTTTTAAAGGGCTGTAATGGCATATTAAATGTCTCATCAATAGACTTCCAGCCCCATATACCATTTTCCTCGGTCAAAATTAGCATTTCCACTTTCTGAGTGAACTTTAACTCCTTAGCGACATGACATGCGGTCAGAGGATTATCACCTGTGATCATAGCAACGGCATGTGAAGCATTTACTATTTCAGCTATAGCTTTCTTTGAATCACTCTTTAGTGGACATGATATAATAACAAAACCGACAAAAGTCAGATCAGACTCAATGTCTTCTCTAGCCAATTCTCTAAGTTCCTGAGAACTCAATTTACCTAAATTTCTATACCCCAAGGCAAGCACTCTTGCACCTCTTCTTGATAATGTTAAATAGACATGGTCATAATGGCTAGGAACTTCTTTAAGCATGGTCTTAATTGTCTCAGGAGCCCCCTTAACACTACTAATGTAATGATTCTCCAAGAATCCTCTCTCATTCACCTGATACCCTGCTATTACAGACATCCTTTTAAGAGCACTTGCAAAATGATTCCTGTGGACAATTTTCAAACCAGGCGATTTGCCTTTCTTTGGTACAACTGCATCTCCTTTAGTAAGGTTCCATTCAGCTGCTTTCAATGTAGCTTTCTCTAGAGGATCTCCTACTAACCCATCTTCTAATTGAACAAGTGAGTGACATGACGCCAGTACTTGTATTGTCTCTATAGGAGCTTCAGAAAGAGGAATGACAGTGGCATCTTTGTGATCTCCAATGCCAGCGACACCCTCAACTACTAAATTATCGCTAGTTAAGGTTCCAGTCTTATCAAAGCAACATATTTCCACTTTGCCAGCAAATGGTATCCTGAAAGGCTCTGTGCAAAATACAGCTAATTTAGATAGCGACAGCAAAGATGTATTAACTGCTAAAGACAACTCTATTGGCAATTCTGGAGGAACTACAGAAGTCAAAATCAAGGTGCATTCTAAAAATAGTTTATATCTGTTTCTTTCTGGGTCTTCACATCCCTTGATCCACACATAGGCAGCCGCCGCAATCGCAAATATCAGCAAAAATAATATGAAACCAAATGTTTCCAGATTATTGGCAGTCACTCTCTTTACTCCGAACAAGATAGTTCTCAAAAGTTTACCCTGTGATGTATTAAAGCCATTTCGAATAACATATCCAATGCAACCATTGTCAGGAGCTTTCAGCCCAGATGACACATTTTTACTTGGTGAAGAGTGTTGCACTATTTTAGTTCCACCAAAAAGTGTGTGTAATTTTCCAGCTCCCTCAGGGTCTAAAGTCTGTGAGTGGTTTTTCTCGTTTTCTATTGCCTCTTTCATTTGTGGTACACTCTCACCAGTCAACATGGACTCATCAACAATGCACGAGCCCCTCAATAGGGCAATGTCACAAGGCACAAGATTATCATTGGCAGAGCGTGTGAGGGACACAATATCTCCAGGCAGCAATTGATCACTCATTATTTGTCTCCATCGCCTGTTTCTGTACACATTGATGTTATAAGGTTTGTTTCCCATTTTCCTAATTTCTGCCATGTTCCGCAATTGCTGTTGGACCAAAGTGCACTCGAACATAACCAGCATGACCAAGGTGAATATAGAGTAATACCAGTATTTGTCCAAACACCATAGAGCTACACAAAATACTTGGAAAACGAAAAATGGTGCTGTTGCCCTTTCCTTAAAGAGTTCCATAAATTCAGGAACAACCTGCAAAAATAAATACTAATTAATATTTATTGTAATATGTAAAACAGCAGTGTACAATCAAAGTTTTCAAAAAATAACCAATTTGTACCATTAATATCGTCAGCACGCTTGATGGAGAAACTTACAATACACATATAAAAGACTTGTATAATATAAAAATATTGCTGATATGATCCAAATGGAGTCCACTAACTCACATGTTCTGAATATCTATTAGACCAGATATTCAGAGTAGTCTATTGCATGATTTTGTATGTAGTGTTCTGAAAACTGAACATTCAACCTTATGGTATACTGTTGGTATGAGTGTGTGGTGGTATGATATAATGTGGTTCAAGACTGTACTTATCTAGTATAAGAAATATAAGCAGATCAATCTGGATACTATACCATAACCATATCATTTTTGCTAAACTCCTTTTCTGCTAATTCAATTGCCTCATCATCACAAAAACCTTTGGATTCCATATACTCCTCATAAGTCTTATTAGTGGGAAACTCTATGGTATGAAAGATCTTCTTCTCCCAATCATAAATATATTTACTTTTTTGGAACATAAACCAAATATCTGGATTAAGGCTCCCACGCTTTGTAGACTGAAATTTACACATATTGTTTTAATAATACATGAACCAGACAAGTTTAGTAAACATAGAAGATGCAACTTATTAGAAATAATAAATCACGTGAATGAAAACATTATCTTATTAATTTTAGAAATGTAAGTACATTAAACATCCCAAGTCTACCAGGTAATTCGAGCTCTTAGCAGAGTATGATAGGGACTAGCCAAGTATGATGGGGACTTCATGACCGTCTCCCTGATATTATGTTGGTAAATAAATTGCATTAGTACCTTGGTATGATGGAGTCTAACAATCTCAGAAAATCCATTATTAGATGTTGGGACAACTTTGACAATTTCCGCTTGTAAGGGATCTTTTACCTGAAACCACATTAGATGGAACATAAGGTTATGTTAAATCAATACTGGTTTCCTACAAAATCATTGATAAATTGCACTTACTGCTGAGCAGGATAAAAAACATTGGATATGAACACTCCAATAACAGCAGAGGCAGATCAAAATTTGTATTACTGCAATCACAGCTACAGTCACAAACCCAGCTTCGAAATTCTCTTCAAAACCATACACGAAGATCCATGAATAAAACACCACTGGGTATATTATTAGGAAAGGAAACACAGTTCCTTGGAATATCGTCGCCACCGGCTTGAATAGTTGAGTATATTGGACTAAATCATCTAGTGACGACTGCATTTTATTTGATACCATGTTACAATGGAAAGATATAATATCTTTTTACTTGGAATCGAAACGTTCCTTCTGTCAATTACTTGTTGCGTCGCTGAACATTTTCTTTGAGAGTATTATTTCATTATGATTTACGGTGATAGAGTCAGTAAAATAGCAATTTACAAGAAAAACTGACAACGAAATGGAACGAGCTGATATATCATGCACCTATGCTAGATATACCACAGACCTGACACTGACAAGCAAATGACAAGAAGAAAAAGACAGGGCATGAAATAATGAACTGTACAGAACGAATACGACAGAGAAAAAACTAATTCATTAGACCACGTGCTAGACTAGTCTATAAAATACAAAACGACATCAACCTGAAAACTACGTGTCATTAGCCGACCAATGTTATCCCTGTGGGTTGTCCAATCATACTGCTCCATGCTGGGTATATTTTCCAAAAAATTTCGAATAGGTAGTGGAAATTTTCCGGAAAAATTTCCATTACGTATTTTATGATCTATTAGTGTTGAGTCTTGAAAGAAAAAATATTTTTCTTTTATTTTTGCCATCCTCTAAGATATTTTTCCACATTTGACATCTGTTGGTTGACAAAAGTTGAAGATTCTGAACGAAAACGATGGAACCATTAATTAAACCACAAAAACTTTTTTACCGCTGTTGCAATGCAATCAATAAAAAAAATCTTGTTTTACTCTAACATGCTTTTAGCCATACAATTTTATTTTGTACTTTATGCAAAATAAAACTTCAAAAGCTATATCTAATCGTAGAACATTAATATGAGACTTCAAAATATGTTTTCCAGCTTTCCAGAATTTTTTCCCAACAACATGTCCTACCTTTATATGTATATACATTTTGAAGTTCTATGTAGCGTGAATTATAAAATAAAATTGTATAGCTAGCTAAAAACAAGTTAGAGTAAATATTCTAGAACTCTACTCAATGCTCAAGTCAGGATTTGAGCAGACTTGAGTATGATTTCAAGCACTGGAAATACGACCCTAATGGCAAGGACTTGAGTATGATTTTCAGTGCTCACTGCAATACTCAAGTCCTGACTTGAGACCCATAATGATTGGACAAACAACGAAAAGCAGAATCTTAGATAAAAAATCTTTTTAGGCTCCATCGCATAGTTTTCGTTCTTTAACTTATGGCAGGTGTATTGTCAAATGTAGACAAATATTTGAAAAAATGTTTTTTTATTATAAATAAATATTCTTCCAGGTACTTTTGCAATATTTATCCACATTTGACGTTAACACCTACACCTGTCAAAAGTTGAAGTTACTGAACGAAAACAACGGAGCTATTAAAAATTGTTTTTTCGTTGAAGAATCATTTTATATTATTTTTAAATCTCGTTTTTTATGTGACTTCTAGCTAGACAAGTTTATTTCATATATTCTTTTTAATGAAAATAAAACTTCAAAAGATATTCCTAAATGTAGAAAATAACAGAGAGCCAATTTTTCAAAATTTTCTAGTTTCTCATTTTTCGGAAAATTACCCAACTGTAGATATTTAACCGTTTAGACCAATGACAAATATCTCAACGGTTTAGACGCTGTTAATTTTTTATTAATGCCTTGTAGCCAAAACTTAATATAAAGAAAAAAAAATGTCACAAAAAGGCGCCAAAATCCTAAAATCGCCATGTTGGTAATTATTTATCTCCATTCTTCAGTTGCTCAGACTTTTTTCGTTTATCTTGTTATTTTTTATGTAAATAGAGAGCGTAAACAGTTATCTGTGGAGCGTAATAGCAACAAGAAAACTTAAAATTTTATTCAGCAAAAAGCTACCACTATGGATCTGCAAATTAAAAGGAAATCTACTAAAACGCCGCTAACAGGTAGTCTTGTTGAAACCTATCCTCATGATTTACAAATGTACAGAATTCCACCAACTGAAAATATCTCATTACAAGAATTCGAAATATTGGCTTTAGAAAGACTTCATCTCTTGAGGTGCTTAGCTTCAGCAACTACTTTGAAAAGTTTCAAGCCTTACTCAGAAGAATGGAACCAGTACATCATAAGCGAAATGCGGACTCGTGGATTTAAATATTATGAAAAACTGTGTTACAAATCTACATGTAGCACCCAAGAGGCAGACATACAAGCTCGCCGGAAAGATCATATAGCTCATTTTATACTAAGATTGGCGTATTGTCGAACTGAAGACTTACGAAGATGGTTTGTTGCTAGAGAAACTGAATTATTTAAAATGAGATTCATAGCTTTGAAAAGTGATGCTGTTGATGCCTTCTTCGAATTAAATAATTTATGTTACACCAACATATCAGAGGAAGAAAAAGATGAACTTATAAATGACCTGCGTGAATGTACTCAGTATATTAATGTTGATGACATGAAGTTTTATAAGGTAAAATTCTACGAAGTACTTGATTTGGTTAGGGCAAGAAAAGTGTTTTTGCGTGGAGGCTACGCCTATATTCCATATAAAGATTTTGTCTCTGTGCTGTCAGCCCAATTTAGAATACACTTGAAACAGAGTTTAGCTGTAGCAAGCCACCATTTAGGTGAGATTGAGCAAGATGAGAGATTGGTCTGTTTACTGAAAGGATTGCACCAGTCCTATGCTGGTAATGACTATAGTGACACAAAATCAGTTGTACCTATTGAAAGTCTGGATGCACTTTCAGTGAAATCATTTCCACTATGTATGAAGCAGCTACATGACCAATTAAGAGCTGTACATCACTTGAAACATAATGGCAGGCTTCAATACGGACTCTTCTTAAAAGGAATTGGTGTTACTTTGGAAGATTCTCTTCGATTTTGGAGAGATGAGTTTACAAAAATTATGGATACAGATAAATTTGAGAAACAATATGCATACCATGTCAGATACAACTATGGCAAAGAGGGCAGTAAAAAAAATTATTCTCCATTTAGTTGCATGAGAGTAATTAATGAAACTGTTGGTCCTGGAGATTGTCATGGTTGTCCATACAAACATTGTGATGCAAGTAATTTGAAGAATAAACTGCAAGGATATGGTCTTGACAGTCAAGGTATTTTTTTCACATTTATTTTATTTCAGTAGATTGCTTCTAATGTAATCAACTAACAGAAATTAATTTTTTTATTACAGCTATTCATGATATTGTGGACATGGCCAAGAAAGGACACTATCAAATTGCCTGTAGCAAATACTTTGATGCAGTCCATAATACTGACCTTGGTTTGGGCATCAACCATCCAAACCAGTTCTTTGAAGAGAGCCAGAAACTACTAAAAGGAAATGTTAAACTTGAACCTAAGAAAGAAATGAAGCCAAATGTCAAGAAAGAAAGTGTTGATGATATTGAAGAAATAAATTTTGAAGACATGTCAGACTGGAAAGGATAATTAAACTAAATATATGTAAGGGGCTTACAATATTTAATTGATTTTACTTAAATTACAGATTGATATATAAAGAGATAATTTGTTCTATTTTTTCCTAACATACATAGACCTTTTTGTCAAGCAACCACAATATAAACCCATTATAAAAATTAAACCTGTCATAGAGATCATTACAACTAAAATATATTTCTTTGATGGTGATGATGAGAGTTTGTTGTACATGTCACTCAAGCCTTCTATTTCATTCACCTGTAAAAATTTTAAATCTCATATAAATAAACTAAAATTAGTATTTTATTCAGGTATTAAAAATTATTAAAAGGGAATACGCACTGCGGCTACATATCTATACATTTCTAATCTACTAGAGAGTTCTTTTGCACACTCTGGTTCTAGCTTTCTGGTACCATCATTCAAAATTATTTTGAGACATTTCAAACCTGAAAATGAAGAGTAAAATATTACATACCTACTCCGAAAACTTTAAACATGAACATGTCTTGTACTAATTTAATAATGCCAATTTCTAACTTACGCCTGCCAGCTCCATGTTGTAAATCCTTGCAATATTTTAGTAAATCCAAAGCACAAGCACGTTCTAATAGTGGATCAGCTTCAATGTCTATCTCAGTTTCTTCAATGATCTGTACAACTTCACGAGCACACTCGGCTGATACAATTCTGTGTTCAAGGAGAGCAGTTTTGAGGCATTCTTGCACCTGAAAGTATTAAATTGAAATACTAAAGATCCAAGTTGTGCTTTCTGTGTTCTTTTGATAAGTCACTTGTCTCATTAAGAATAGTCAACTTTGTGAGTTACCTGTCCATCTGAATTGGTGATAGAATCATTTGGCACAGCACATATTGTTTGAATCTCTGCATTACACAGCTTTCCCAACAAAGGATCCAGGCGGTAATTCAAAGCTTGTTCTTTTAGTACATTTGCTAGTTCATTTTCGCAAGCAGTAGTCAGCTTATTTTCTTTGAATTTTACTTTTAAGCATTGTAGCACTTTACCTTGAAGCTCTACATCTTGAGGTTCATTGGCTACAAACATGATTTACAATGTATTGAAAATATTCAAGTGAATCAATTGCATTTATTATCCATTACCCTTACCAATTATTTTGGAACAAAATGTCCTAATGTCATAGTTGCAAAAACTTTGCAAATTATTATTGAAACGGTAATCCGAGTTTTGTTCGATCATCCTATTCACTATTACAATGTTACAGTTTTCATCAAAATCTGATTTTTGTCTATGTGTCTGAAAATAAACACACATTATGACATAAATATATCTGAGGAGTCATATGCAAAATTATAGAAATACTAAGATCAAATTAAGCAGATATACTACCTTCAAACAATCAAGTACTTTAGTTGACTCAATATTGTGGCAGTACATGTCTATCATATGATTACAGCTAGTGATTAAGTGATAATCAATGGCATTGTCAGTGAACTCTTGTTTCCTTACTATAAAAATGGCTCTTTTACATGCTTTACTTAGTTTTCCGGAAGCAGTTTGCAAACATTCCAGTGCTGCTGACTCGCCATGTGGGACATTTGGACAGTATAAGGACAAATCTTCCTTACAAGCTACACTAAGTTCTGGGTCCAAATCAATGTTTTCATTTTGCTGGAAAAGTTGGCTTCGCAGCTGCTGTCTGCAGTCCTTAAATATTGTGTGCTTTCTCTTATTAATAGTATCATTTCTTACTATCTCACTCAAACACGTAACTACTTGACTTTTGGTTTGTGCCCTAGGACAAAATTTTACAACATACGATCTGCAAGCGTACTTAAATTTTCTTGTGAACCTGTAATTCTTTAATGAAATTAATTGTTCATGCTCAATTGCAGCTCGACATTTCGGTTTTGATTTTATCTCAGGATTGTTCTTGTGCAAAATCAAGCATTCTAATACATCATCTTCCTCTTTTTTACTTTTCAGCTCTGTAGAACATAGTCTCTCAATTGGAAGTCTGCAGTTTGAGTTCACAACAGCATTGAGCTCAATGTGACCACTCTGAGTTTCAGTAAAGTTGGTTACAATTTCTTTACACTTGGGAGAGAGTACTCGTATCTTATTCTGTAAACATTGTATTTCTTCTCCTTTGCCTGTATTCTCAAAACATAGATTTGCTAAGTTGTCAATACAAGTATCTTCAATCTCTGGCAATAAATCTACACTCACAGCTCTTTGCCTCATAACTCTTTTAACTTGTTGTTCACAAGCCGGTTGCAGAATACCTCTGTGTTTTGAATTATAAGCAAAATTGTATAAACATGGCAAAATTAAAGGGTCCTTATCTGACTGGTGTTCACTGGCATCAGCCCATTGCAACTTAGCTTTGCAATTAGTGACTGCATCGTACCTGCAAGCCTTATACAGTTGTGGATCGAGCTTAAAATCTCTGGATATAAAGTACTGTATTTGTAATAATGCATTTTCACAATCTGGATTCATAAGGTCTGTTCCAAGTCTTTCCATTAGACATGACATGACTCTCCCACTGCCCCCAATGACTTTTCTGCAAGCCTTATCTACTACGGGTTTACAAGCATTTCTCAATATAGGGTCTACTCTCCAGTCTTCACCTGGATCTGCCTCTTGTACTAACAACTCGAGAGATTTTTGACAAGCAATACTAATTCGTTTCTCCTTTCGTTTTCTAGGTCTGGCATGATCCATCAAGCAGTGTATTGTTTTACCACCTGTTTCTACACTTTTGCAGAAATTAGTGATGTCATTAGCACAGTTCTGCATCAACTCTGGAGACAGTCTATAATCATTCATAAGCATTCTCCTGTGATCATTCATTTCATCCAGGCAGTTTTGGGAAATTTTTGAGGCATCATCTCTTGACACATTCTCTAAACAAAGCAAAATTTGTGCAAGTCTCACATCCTTGTCCTCAACTATTCCTTTTCGACAGCGATATTTCCTAATATCTTCTTTACAGGACTTTACCATGCCTTTACTCATTTTGTAATTCATAATCACGCTTCTTTGGTCATAGAATAGTAGATCTTGGCAGGTTTTTGACATAGCTGAAACAATGCAAATAATGAGGTTATCATTAATTTATTTGTACAAAAATAATTAAATTTTTAATAATCTACTTTAAGGGTAGCCAGGACGTGGTAAAAAAATTGCGCGTTTGACTGTTTATCGGTGTGCTGCTCCTAAACGAGATGCGTAAGCTTGGAAGTAGGGTCCATGTTGTAGAAGTGTGAGCATTGCTTGTCGTATAAGCCTTCGAGAAAGAATGAGGAACAGTGTAACAATAAAAGAGGGCTGTGGTGTGCAAGATTACTTTTTTTCAGGGATAACAAATTTTAGATTTAGATTATGTATTGAGTTGAATAGAAAAGAGAACACCTCAGTGGTTTCATCATAACATGAAAAAGATGGATGCCAGTCGTACCTATAACGTGTAAGAAATATATAATCGTAAAATAGAAAAAAATATTTTCATTATTATTTATTTAAATATTATAAGGATTAATAAGCTTATTCCATATATTAATTTAAAAAGTTTGTTAATTGATATTATTAGGTTTCCGAAATGTTACAGTGTAGATGGCGTGTTGGTCTTGATTGTGATTGGTCCGAACACTTTATCTACCGGTTCGACTAGCCAATGACATTGCTTTTAAAGTTCCCTACTTGCGAAAAATGGCGGGAATTGAAAAAGAAGGGATTTACGAGGCAATGTCTTTAAGTGAAAGAAAGATTTATGCATTCGTGTCTCATCAAATGTTAAAGTTAGATTGGTCAGGAATTATAACGGTATTTTGTGGTTACAAATTTTGTTAAGTATATTTTAAAAGTTCTAATATTATGTCTAATATGTTGGAGGAATAGATAATTTAATAAATCAGTTTGGTTAATACGGCGTTTTATTGGAGTGTTTGGAAGAAGTCAACAAGTCAGAATTGGGAACGAAACACGTGAGTAAATTTGTCGTCATTATAATTTTTTAACTTTATTTTGTTTGTATGACCGTGTGAAGCAACATACACCATTTAAACTGACACCTTGTTTTTGTTACGTGTCGTCATACATGAATAGAAATAAAATTAGTCGCAATTAGTCTGTTTCCTACTTATGTAGAAAATATTTTTTTTAGATTTTGTGCTTTTATGGAAAGCATATTCAAAATTTAATAATCACTACACAATTAAATAACATCTTGTGTGTGCAGTACGATGCGAAATAAAGGCAGAATTATGAAATTGCTCTCTATAGTAGTAAATTATACATCAATTATCAAGTGAAATGAGAATAAAGGAAAGTATGATTGGTACAACAGGAAATTGTCTCCTTTTATGTACATTGATACACACTGATAGCAATAGTCATTTTAATAAATTAATTCTATGCAGTTGACTCACTCTCAAGTGAGGGACTGCTGCATATTGATACATATATATTGATGGCAATAGTTATTTTAGAAATTTAATTCTATGCAGTAGTCGTAGCAGTGGGGTACTGCTGTTTATTATACCTAGTTATCCTTCCACTTTTATGATTTTATGTGAGTGGACATAAGCTAATGGTTGATATACGCTTCGACATTACTTTCATTTGTGACCGTGCATTGACGTGATGTTAGATGATAATAATCTATCTACAGTTATTGTACAAAAATTGTGTCGGTTATGTTTTCCCGTTTCAGTGAGAATATGGGTGTGGCTGAAAAATCTTCTCGTGGGCGACGATCGTGGGTACCATCACAATCGAGGGCAGAGACCCCATATGAAAACGTAGAATGGTTTGATGAAGAAATTTTAATTTTTTTTCGTTCCTTGAGAAACAAACGGAGCAGGAGCCGAGCTCGTCGTACTACATCGCGATCTAGAGATCCCAGACATCGCAGCCGATCACACAGACATTTTGACCAGCGACGTGAGCACGCTTCACGTGAAGATGAACGTAATACTACCAGGTCACCCCGAGCACGGTATCAGGAGCGAAGACGCGAACGAGTACTTGAACCATCATATAGAAGTCGTAGCCGGTCACCAGCTGGGAGGCATAGGAGGACTCCAGAAGGCGACGGCGATACACGTGAGTTGTTTACTAAGTTTGCTAATATGATTCAAGGCTTGAGACAAAGTAAAAACAAGGAATCTTTTTCTAATTCCAACCTTATTCCGGAATTTGATCCTTCGTTGAAGAATCAGACTATAAATACCTGGTTAATGAAAGTTAATGAGAGTGCTATATTGTATGAATGGACTGATAGGCAAATTGTACATTACGCATTACCAAAGCTCGCCGGTATGGCTAAACTTTGGTATGAAGGATTACCATCCGTTTTGTTTAACTGGTCCGAATGGCAGGGAAGCTTAGGAATGCATTCCCTGCCGACGAAAACTATGGGCAAATGCTTTCTGATATGTTGCAAAAACGCGCTAGGTTTGGAGATTCGTTAGAGACCTACTTCTATGAAAAAGTTGCCCTAATTAATCGCTGTGGTATTACGGGTAAAAGAGCTGCGGAATGCATACTACATGGTATTGAGGATAGGTCTGTACGGGTAGGTACAGAAGCGGCACAGTTTGAAGACCCTGACAAATTATTAGCATACTTACGAAACGTGAAGGTTAGGAAATCCGATTCATTTTGTTAGGCGGACTAACAGGGATGAGAAGAGCATTGCGTGCACCAACAGACCCTCTATAAGATGCTACAACTGCAAGGAAGAGGGACACCTGTATCTAAGTGCACGAAACCTATTAAGACGTGTAGTAAATGTAACGCTGTTGGTCACTTAGATTCAGAATGCTTTCGTTCCTCAAACTCTCAACAGACGAAAACGATTTTAACGATTAATGAACCTCCTACTAATGTTTCTGACAAATACATACAAGAGGTAACAATTAACGGTAAGGTTAGGGTAGGATTTATCGATTTAGGAAGCGAGTTAACGTTAATACGTCATAGTGACGCTAAGGAAATTTTTGGCGAGTTTGATAGTACTGATAGTCGTCCTATGGTTGGTTTTGGAGGTGCTGTCGTGAATTCTATAGGATCTCATCTAGCAGAGATAAAGGTACAGGCGGTTATAGCTAAAGTCTTGTGTGTTATTGTCCCAGATTTATTTCTTCGTCATTCTTTGTTGATTGGCCAGAGTTTTAGTGAACAACCGCATGTGCGCATTGTTAAAACTGATCTCGATTTATTGATAGTGAATGCTGATGATCTAGGAAAATGTAAGAGTCGTCAGCGTTTAACACTAATGATTGCAAATGACTCGTTGGTTGCGGGAACAGATGTTGTGGATGTATGTTGTGACTGTTATAGAGGAGAACCAAAGAGAGAGTATTGCGTGGCTGAAGGTTTGTATAAGTTAGAAAATCGAATAGGATCTTTTATAATTATACTTGCTACAGATAAACCGATAACGTTAAAAAAGAATGAGTTGATTCCTAGAGTTGAGATTGTATTAGAATCATTTGGTCTATCTGAAGTTAATAAAATAGAGTCTCGCCCACAAAATTTTCAACCGTTTACATTAAATGATTTGAATGTCGGTGATATAACTAACGTTCAAAAATTAAAACTGTTAAATTTAGTAAACAATTTAGAGATTGTTTTGCAATTTCGTTATACAAGAATTGCGTTGCACTAGTGTTGAAGAGATGTCGATTGATTTATATGATAACGGCATTTGTGACTCCTGACGGACAGTGGGAGTTTAACAGAATGCCATTTGGCTTGGCTAATGCACCAGCCGTGTTTCAGCGGACTGTTAAGAAAGCGCTGGGGTCTCTTAGGTTCGATACAGCTGTAGCATATATGACTGATATCCTTGTTCCGTCTGTGTCATTTGATGAGGGGTTGGAAAGGTTAGTAACCATTTTTACAAAATTTAGGGAAGCTAATTTAACTTTCAAGTTGTCTAAGTGTTACTTTTTTGAAACATCTGTAGATTTTTTGGGATTTGAAATTACATCCAGTGGAATTAGACCGGGTTCAAAAAAAATTGAAGCTGTCAAGGACTTTCCCACTCCTCAAAATGCACACAATGTAAGACAATTTGTAGGCTTAGCCAGTTTTTTCCGAAAATTTATTAAAAATTTTGCCACTTTAGCTAAGCCTCTTACAGGGTTACTTAAAAATGACACACCTTGGATTTGGGGAGAGGAGCAGCAAAATGCATTTCAAGACCTCAAAGATAAATTGATTTCTCGCCCAATTTTAGCTTTGTATAACCCTTCATTAGCCACAGAATTACATACGGAGGCTAGTAAGATGGGCGTAGGCGATATTTTGTTCCAAAAGCAAGAGTCTAGCGAGCTTAAGCCACTAGCATACTATAGCCGTCAGACTTCACCTGAGGAGCAGCACTTCTCTGCTTATGAACTGGAGACTTTGGCTGTGGTATCAGCATTAGGTAAATTTCGATCGTATTTGTTTGGTATGTCTTTTGTCGTTGTAACCGATTGCAATTTATTACGTGCTACGTTTATGAAACGTGATATGATACCAAGGGTTGCCCGCTGGTGGAGTTTAATACAGGAATTCGACTGTGATGTCATTTATAAATCAGGAAAGACTATGCTTCATGTAGACGCTCTTAGTAGAAATTCCGTACCGGACGATCCCATTGATTTAGACTTGCCTTGTGTTTTAAATATCACAGATGAATGGCTGAAAACGGTCCAGATTAGTGACAGTGAAGTTAGCAGAATTAAAGACATACTATTAGACCCAAAAACCAGTAATATCGTTGAAATTAACAAGAATTATTGCGTTAAAAATGATAATGTTTTCAGAGTTACAGAAAAAGGTCTTAAATGGTTAGTACCAAAGGGTGTTAGATGGCAGATCCTCAAGTCTTGTCATGACGGAATTGGCCATTTTTCAACGGAGAAAACCTTAGATAAGGTGTCCGAAAAGTTTTGGTTCTCTAAAATGAGAAAGTTCGTAAAGAAATATGTGCAAGCGTGTCTAGAGTGTGCGCACAGTAAAGCCCCAGCTGGGAGAAAATCTGGATTCTTACATCCTATTCCTAAAGTTTCGATGCCATTTAACACCATTCACGCTGACCATTTGGGACCGTTTAATCCAAGTAAAACTAAGAATAAATATCTTTTGATAATTATAGACTCTTATAGCAAATTTATCGTATTGAAACCTGTTAAGAGTACAAAGGCGAGTACAACAATAAGAATTTTGAAAGAATACTTTAGCACATTTGGATTACCTGTGCGACTTATTACGGACCGATATTCTTCATTTACTGGAAAGAAACTAAAAGTATTCTTAAACGATTTGGGTGTGCAGCATATAATGAACGCGGTATCTACCCCCCGTGCAAATGGACAAGTAGAACGATACAATCGGACATTTCTGGATTCACTCACGGCGATGAATCATGGACGTGACGAATCGCTATGGGATGAGAAGGTGTTAGACGTTCAGTGGGGTCTAAATAATACGATAAACAAAGGCATAGGTCGTACACCTGCAGAAGTTCTTTTTGGATTGCGATTAGTTGGTCAGAGCGAAGGGAAAGTAACAGCAGCTTTAGGCTCAGACGAAATAGCTAGACAAATAGATCTTAACGCGGTTAGGGCGGATGTAGACCGTCAAGTTGCCGAAAATCAAAGAAAACAAAAGGAAAGGTTTGATAAGTCGAGATGTGCTCCCCGAAGCTTTAAGGTTGGTGATTTAGTAAGGGTAGAAAGAAATGTGCTATGTCCTGGTAAAAGTAGAAAATTGGTATCTAAATGTTCGGGATGTAGCAAAAGTATTCGAAAATGATAGGTATTTAGTTGAAGATACCCCTGTGACTCGGAAAAAGGGTAAAGCATCTTATAAAGGAGTTCATCCAGCAGAAAGAGTTCATCCTATATTCTGTAATCTGTGTCCTTGGTTAACATTTAATAATTTAGATGAAAGTAGTGATAGTGATGTGAGTGAGAAGAATGATAGTGAAAGTGAAAGGGATAGTTTGATATAGGATTCCGAAGATAATACTGATAACAATGACGTTGTCGATATGGACGTGGATGAATGACTTGATTGTATTAAATACACAGTGAAGGATTTGATTCTTGAATTCACATAATATCAGCTTACAGCATAGGAATATTAAAGGGAGGATATTGTGCAAATAATGGAAGGATATTGTTACACGATGGAAGGATAATGTTATAGAATTTAGAAATATTGTTATAATGTTGAGGTATATTTTACTATGGATATTATATACATAGAAAGAGTATTTAATAATTATTTTATAGTAATGTAATTGCTTTGTTTACTATAACTAATGATTTAATTTATTTATTCTTTACATATTTACTATTTAATAGATATTACTATTTACAACGCATGTTTTAAGAATTTTTCAATAGAATTTTATTAAATGTATTTTTTTTAGTTTAATTAAAATGTAGTAATGTATCTTTAATACTGTAATAACAAGAAATTTTAATATTGTATTAAATTTTTAGTAACGTTAATTCACGAGGTCGTGATATGTGGTCAGGATGGACGAGTTGTAAGAAATATATAATCGTAAAATAGAAAAAAATATTTTCATTATTATTTATTTAAATATTATAAGGGTTAATAAGCTTATTCCATATATTAATTTAAAAAGTTTGTTAATTGATATTATTAGGTTTCTGAAATGTTACCGTGTAGATGGCGTGTCGGTCTTGATTGTGATTTGTCCGAACACTTTATCTACCGGTTCGACTAGCCAATGACATTGCTTTTAAAGTTCCCTACTTGCGAAAAATGGCGGGAATTGAAAAAGAAGGGATTTACGAGGCAATGTCTTTAAGTGCAAGAAAAATTTATGCATTCGTGTCTCATCAAATGTTAAAGTTAGATTGGTCAGGAATTATAACGGTATTTTGTGGTTACAAATTTTGTTGAGTATATTTTAAAAGTTGTAATATGTCTAATATGTTGGAGGAATAGATAATTTAATAAATCAGTTTGGCTAATACGGCGTTTTATTGGAGTGTTTGGAAGAAGTCAAAAACGACACAAATTTATAGAGTCGGTGATAGAAAATGTGAAGGTCTCTTAAAAATAGTTTTAGAAGTTTTTAGAAGCGCGGGTGACTTTAATGGGGGTATAAATTCGAGCTTTCCAGGCACTATATCGTTGGGGATAGTGCAATTACGCATAACTAACATTGAATGATGAGTTTCCATTTCGGTAATTTAGTGGTTAAATCAAATCCGCGTATATGTCGTAGCAACCAAATTAGCGTGGTATAAGGGAATGTATTGTTATCAGTCCGTAGACAAAATAAATTTATGCTTACTGTGCAAAAATGAAAGTCGTAACCATTGAAATAACAAAGTAATAACGTTAAATCCCTCTCCAGTAAAATTTGGCTTGAATGGATTAAAAATGCTACATACGCGTATTTGCACTATCCCCGACGATATCCCCTGGAATTGTAAAGTGCAAACGTTCTTCCACTTTAAAAGAGCAATACGCACAAATCGCGCTATGGACTTATCGCTCGGTCTAGATGCCCTGCATGATGACAATCGTACTACGCGTATTAATCGGTAAGCTACCTGATCGGTTTTTGTATTAATATACAAAATGTACGGTTCATTTAGTGTTTTCTGTTTGTTTTGTAAGTTGAATGTAAACTTAATCCTGTTCCCCTTCAGTTACTCGTTAAGAGTATCTTAAATATCTATCAAAGCAGGTAGTCACTTTTTAGCTAACGAGCCCTCTAGGTGGGGACCTACAGTGGGGGTCGTGCACGGCCTGCGGCGCGGGATCGGGTTTAGATTACGAGGTGTGCTTATACTTTTCAGTGGCACAGCTGTTAGTTCTACGGGCGCTTGATGAGGCGGTCCCGTGTTCCCGATTTGGCCAATTTAGGCAACGAACATTTCTAAGTTGTGTTTCTGGTCTGGGTATTGCCCTCAGAGTTATCGTTATTCTGGTATTCATAGTACAGGAAATTCCTTAATTTGAGACCATTTGTCTTTAATTTTTTTCCCCTAAATACTTATCTTTGGCGTGCGGACACTTCGGGCTTCACCCTACGCTGGTCCTCGGCACTTATGACTTTGTTTTAAAAAATTAAAATAGCTCTTTAATGTCATATTTAAAAATTACAAAAATATATTTTTTTCACAAAATATTATCAGACAATCTTAGAAATCTTTTTGTGCCAATTTTCAGCCGAATCAATGCAAGTTTTTTCAACAGCTATTTACATAGAAATAAGGACGTTTATATGGCGACTACATCGAAAAAAGGTGGAAACTAAATTTTTACCCCAAATTATGAAGACATGCCGTGCCATTTTCAGTCAGTTTAGCAAATTTTTATCTGCCGCCAAAAAACGCTTGTATGACAGCCATATTGAAAAATGTTAAAAAACCAATTTTGATTACAAATTTTAATCAGACGCTCTTATAGTTTTCCGCTTGCCAATTTTCAACCGAATCAAAGAAAGTTTTTCTTCAGCAGCCATTTTGCAGTGGCCATCTTGATTTTTTTTGACACAGGCAGTTGACCACTGCTACCCTCTATACCATTTCTTCCAACACCTCCTAGCTTAAGTGACAGAAGACTTTGAAATTTGTATGGTATGGTTATGATGTTTCTTGTATCTTGTATAATTTGACTTTCGAAATTTTTTACTTTTGGCAGAAATTGGCCAAGGTGAACCTCATAAAAGTGCACAAATATGTATGTATGTAGTATATACTTTTTGCAGGCCGTTGATCACTAACTTTGTTTATTTCGTGCCCTCTTGTTATTAAACAATAACTCTGATTCAATAACTACCAGATAAAGCAAAAACAAACAAGAAATAGAGAGAAACTTTTGAGAAAAAATAAAAATGAAGCTGAAAATCAGGATTTTTAAAAAAAATCTAAAATCTTCAATATCTCCAGAAGCACTCATTTTTGAACAGGGTATGACATGACTAAATTGGCTTTAAATTAAGTCTATTTTCACCCCTTGAGGAGGAATGTATCGAGTTTCACGTCACTCTGTATATATATATTTTTTTTATAATGTGAATTGAAATTAAGTCTACTCAGCTTTAGTAATTTATTGGTAAGATGTTGGCCTCTTTGGCTATAGTTCCGTTTCTAGCATCTTTTTCTTTGGCATAAAGTAAAAATATTTCTTTTAACAAGAATATAAGTTATTTTTCTATATTAATTTTATACTTAATCCAGTCCAGCTTCATACATAGTTATATCAGCCTAACTGAGGATATCTCTAGAATAGGCCAGATCACAAGGAACAAAAGTAAATGGGAATATCTGCGAAGACTGATACGAGTGGAGAAAACATAAGTAATCAATTGTTAGGAGCCAGATGAAGATCCATGGTCCCTGCCTACCCAGTAAGAAACAGGCACAATAGTATGTTACTTACAGTTTTCGTACTTATGGTGTAAAAGGCATTTGTACATCCGCCATGAAGCTGGAACTTCATCAGGGCAAAATATTGACTGATCCACATGACAAGCAGCAAACACAATTTTATCCAATGCAAGTGAAGAGTATTTCAATTCATTTAACACTGCAATTTCAGACTGACATTCAGGCTTCAGATGTAGTTCTTTACCTTGAAGACATTTCAAAGTCTGAGTCTGGGAAAGGATCCTGGAATCTGGTGGAATCCGGCCACAAGTATGAGCTTGAATGTCATCAAAACAACTCTTCAAGAAATTATTAATTAGCTGCCAGTCATTGAAGATTAAAGACTCGATTTTATTAATCATTCGCCAACAAATCCTATTCTTGACTATTGGTTTCTTTTTTAACACGCAGTCTATGGCATACTCTTCAGGTTTCAAACATTCCAGTATTGTTGGTTCATCCTGACATGATTCCCTTAGTTTGTAATCAAGGAGATTGTTATCTAAGAGCTCCGCCTGATGGCTCCATATTCTGTGCTGGCACGTAAACGGGACCTGAGATTTGATAATGTGGCTATTGTTTAGTGCACACGATAAAATCTCGAGGCTATCCTCAGAGACTTGGCATTTCTTTTCAATTGGACCACAACCACTGATATCTAAATTGTAGCTGCCTTGACGTGCTTTTATTATTTGTGCCGCTGTTGCGCCATTTAATAAACACGCAATTAAAATACATAATACGTCGAATAACATATATCTTGTAAGCATTTCGTTACCGGCTCCTCTAACTGTGCAGTGTCAGGTATTATTATCATTCGAAACTGAACATTATTTCCAAATATCACTGACCAGGTTTGGTGCTGGTTTTATTTATGTATCAAGTCAAAAAGACGAAGAAACATTGTAATCATTTTACAAAATAGAACAAGGATGTCAACGATAAGATCACTCCCACAGAAATTTTATCAAAAAAAGTAGTGAATGAAATGAAATTATGATTGAATTGAATTATTTGACAAGTCGTATCCTGTTTTGTTCGTTCAATTGCCCTTCCACTTCGAGGATAAAAATTAAGTGCGCGTATCCGAACAAACCAGAAAAAAAATTGTTTTCAGTTTCAGTCAAAGTCACGGCACCTTGACAGCTAATCATAATTGTCATTTCTATTGCGACGAGGTTGATTGTTATCGGGTTTTTCCGGCCGAGAAAAATATAATTTTAGACCTGAATAATTACATATAGATATTTGGAAAGTGCAGTTATTATATGTTATTGTACTAGACCATGGAAGGATTTATAGAAGTGAATGAAATATCGGATTTCATATCGTACATCCGCAGTGTAAGTACAGCAATGTTTCTCTAAATTTATTTACGCCGATACTTTACTGTTTTGTGCTCAATTACCAGTGTGATCAGAGACCTTTTCGTAATAATTGTACTCTTTAGGCGAGTGAACTATAAATACACCGTCATCATGTTATATTCAGTGTGCCGCATTTGTGACCCTGACACTTATTGTATTCATAAAATCGAAAGTACACAGCGTGTAGAAGCCGCAATTTGTGTTTTATAAAACAATATAAATAATCACCTATAATCAAATTTAATATATTGGTAATTTGTTAGCATTGCCACTCAGTTATGTTTTATGTCTGGTTATTTTAGTCCCTTTGGAAAAACTGAGTTTCACGAGTAAATTGCTCCTCGACGATAATGTTTCACGGAACAATTTAGTATTCCAAGAAAAAGGTTACGGAGTACAATGACTTATGAAGTTCATTGTGATATTAGAAATCAGTTTTCATTTTGTAATTGATCCTTTATATTTATATTCTATATGTATTTATATATTATAGTTTCATTATATTTATTTATTTTGTTTATATGTCAAATATAATGTGATAATACCTAAACTACAGTTTATCAAAAAACTTTCTAGATATGTCGAAGTGAACACTCGAAAGCAATTTGATTAAAACAATTACTTTTTCAGATTTTTTTTAATAACCATTATCATAAGACAAAGGCCAATATCCCTCCTCGACATTTTGTCTGTTCTGAGTCCTCATGGGCTAATTTGTTGTACAATCAACCACACATCAAGTTTGATACAAACTGACATTTTAAGCATTTAAAATTACATTTCATGTGAATATAAGGTATAACAGTTTCTGTAACTCGTATCTGCAGCCCACCAAATTACATACATTTTATTTTTGCAATATTACATTTCAGATTGAATGGCGTGACCCTTGGCTGATTGCATTGGTGTCTTTTCATATTATTGTGACTTTTACATGCTTTTCAACGAGGAACCATGGCAACTTTCAAGTTATACTCTTCATAATATTATGTGAGTCTTGCTTTCAAGTCTTTTTTTGTGTGTATCAATCCACAGCTGAAGTCATTTTACAATTGGTCTTGTGTTACATGTACTTAATTCATCATATATTATTTTGTTGCAAAAATTTACCATTCCTGTACTCCTTTTACTGTTTTAATGTGCATTTGACCAAAAAAAAATTTATCATAATTTTTTTTAAATTGTCATAACATGACAATTGCTTATTATTTATAAAACATAATGTTAATAACTCTTTAACATAGTATGTAACTCTGAATTTTTTAGTTTCTAAAATCTGGATGACCATAGGTTTGCATGGTAATTTTGGTTAAATATTAGGGCTGTCTTATTGTTTGTATATGTGTACCAATTTTTGTAAACCACATTTTAAACAAATAAATATCGTTCATTCACAAACTTTCCGTCAGTGTGACTACATGTAGATATCTGCCCATCTAACATAACAACTTAACTCTGTAGGTATGTTTTATTATGTGTATTAGTATATAGTTTGTACAAAATAGGCCTGAAATTACACAAAAATTGTCACAGATATTAAAATTTGTTCCTAGTTTATTTTAAAATCGTTCATATTTAGTACACTAATAATATTCAGCGTAGGAGTTGCGCTAACAACGCCGCAGCCCCCTACGTTTCATTGCCTCGCCACCTAGTCGTCCCGTCACGCTGGTGTAGTTCCGACGTCATTGTATTATCGGTAGTGTGGCATGGTCCTAAGAGCGTCATCTGAAAAACGACGGATAGGCGTCGAAGATATATAAAACAATGTAACACTGCAATTCCACCTATTCGCACTAAGCGCTTTGCTTCCTCCTTTCTGATGCGTACGGCAAAGGAATGGAATGCTCTACCGGCATCTGTATTTCCCGAAAAGTACAATTTGGGGCTATTCAAGGCTAGAGGGAATAGGCATTTTTTAGGCAAACGCGTCCCATCGTCGGTCACATCGTCGCTTAACATCAGGTGAGATTGTGGCCATGCGTGTGTCTATTATATATATATATATATAAAATAAAAAAAATTCCCAACGATATTCTCGAGACCCCCGGTTTGGAAGAGTAGTAGAATAAAAAGTACCTTTAAAAAAATGTTCACGAAATTCGAATTATTAATAAATATTTAAAAAGTGAAACTTGATTTACATATTTGCTTGGTTTACTGGACTCACACATTTCAATGTCTAATGTTTCGCAAATGTTAAGTCTTTTGAAACCTGTATATGACGAGGGAGCATCATGATTTAAGGCGAGTCAGGGGAAGAGAAGATTATGGGGGTTAATGTTGCTCGCTTCCGTAGGTTTACCCTCGAGATCCTACAAGTGACCCCTAGGTGGTGCTAAACAGCAATAACTACTGATGGTAGGCTTCGGCCGTGGCTAGTCACAAATGGTTTTTACCGTGTTCGGGAGTTGGCATTAGGAGGTCGGGTATGAACAGTTGCATTGTGTCTGACAACGAGTTGTAGCTGCTTGTACTGCCACACAGAGCACTCGGTTCTGGAGGCTAGCGGGATTCAAAGCACGGTGCACCGCTGGCCGATTGTGGGAAATTGGGGGCCCAAGTAGCGGGAAAACCACCCGTGAAAGGCTGCCCCGCCACCCAACGAAAAATCCCGGAATGCTCCGACCTTACCGGTTGGCGACCGGAATGGAGGACCAGGTGGCCATCTCTGGGGGGTTCGGGCGTCCCCGCGGTCTCCAAACCGATTGTACCCTCATGTGGCAGTGTGAGCTTGCTGCTTGGTTGAACACACTACGTCGTGTTGTGTGTATAGGCAAGGGTAGTGTGTTCAACCAAGTCCCGTTCGACTGCCTTCCTCCTGCCTATTCACTTCTCAAAACGTGAAGTCATAAAAAAGGAAAAACTTTACACAGCGGTTGCACGTCCTCCCACTAAAAGTAACCTCACTAATATCCGAGGTCTTCACTCAAAGCTCGATTCGGTCCACTACCACCTTGAAACCGACAAACCGCAGCTGCTGTTCCTCATAGAGACGCAGATCAAATGTCCGACTGACGCAGCGTACCTCAGCTGCCCCGGGTATAGCCTGGAGCACAGGTTCGTACCTCGGGAGTGAATAGGCATTATTTAGGTGTGCATGCTCCATCGTCGGCCTCATCGTCACTTTCCATCAGGTGAGATGGAGGTGAAATGCGCACTTATATTTTATAAAAAAAGCAAGGAATATTGTTTTTTGCTAGATCAAATTGTTTAAGTATTTACTATTAAAGAACAGTCTTACAAAAAATGTATGATACACCTAAGGATGATTTTCTTCGCTTCTTCTTATTTCATTCATATTCATTATCAGCATGCGGATTGCGAGACGTGAAGATACCTCCTAAAATTTAGGTTTGCGTTGAAATACCTCGCCTTTGTCACAACCTTTTGGAATATAAACAAAAGGTCAAATCCCAACGCGTACTTAACTTTTTATTATATTATATATTAAAATTTTACTTTTTTTCGAGTGTACTCAAAAATAATTTTTTTCCATTTGTTTTTTATATCAATTTTATGGGCATAATCTCAAATAACCTTACAAATACTGTGAAATTATTTTATCATGAAATTGAGTATTGTACAAACACATCAAGCTTGTCACTTTGGACCTCTTAACGTAAGCGGAGTAGAGTTGAATTTAAATTTTAATTATCAACTGTGTTAACGTCCTCTTGACAATCGAATGTATTATAATTTGTGTGTGACATCCGTATTTCCGTGGTGTAGTGATTTAAAACTTGGCATGAATTTTCGACTGAATCTTTTTTTCAAGCTGGCGCTGATATATGTTGACACAGAGTGTAAAGATTAGATCTCACTTACCAGAATGCGTCAGCATTGCGTCCATACTTATCGTGTTTTTCATGTGTCATCTTAGTTTGTGTGGGATAATCGTTGGTTTTTTTGGGTCTATTGATTTAAATTTTTACATAAATCAAACTAAATAACGAAACAATCTACCCTAAACATGAGCATGACCCTGGATGTAAAACTTTGTATGAGAAATTCTTACTTGTTTGAGGCGATTAATGTAAAATAATTCATAAATATTCTTCAATCCAAATGAAAAAATTGATTGTTTTTGAAATCTATCTCGTAAAGGGGGGAAGACAGAGTGCTAAAATTTTGTTATTTTATTCAGATAACGTTCAAAACTTAATTCAGTTTTATATAGGTTAATTATTATTATATAGCAAAAACTTCGTGGAATACTCTTCAAGTTAAGAAATTTTTGTTGTTTTTGGAATTTACCCCTATAAGAGGGTGAAACAGGGTGCTTAAGTTTGTGCACGATATATTTAAATACAGTTGTCGCAAATATACATTTTCAGTAATAATATTCTAATGACGAATAAAATACAGTTACCATCGCGGCATCATTTCATTTTATTCTATTAAATAAAGAATACAAAAATACAAACAAGAAGAACTAAGACGTGTTGAGCCGACATCAGTTATCATTTAAGCATACCTAACCAGCTTAGTGGACCGTGACCTAAATTTCTGTAACACGGGCCACGTTTTACTCAATTAAATTATGCTCAGAAGTTCCGCGCAGACGTCAAGCTATTGTGTTTAATTTATAGTTTCAAATACTACTGTTTTTTATATCTAGGAATGTTACGTTCATAGCTACGTTGAAGACCGGCAGCCATAGCATACAATACAATAAAACATAATAGGTAGTCTTTATTACGCTTAGAGAGACATAGCAAAATAATTCTGAGAAATTACCTGAGATCTACGAAGGAATGAAAACGAATGAAGTTAATTATAAACGTTAATAAATTATGTACAGTTTTAGAAAATATCATATAATAAACGAGAAGAAATTAATATAATTGTTTGTTTTAATGAATGACACTTAAAGAAGCAAAGCTACGTCAGACGCTTGGGTCGCGTGAGCTACTGCTTCGTTTCATAACGATGTAAGTGTTCTTATCCTTATTACACACAAGGAAACTGTGATTGTTATATTTTTTTAAAGATATGGTTCGTTAAAAGAGGGAAAAATACCCAATAAGTCAGTATAATAGTCCCCCTTGAATTGGATGTACCTAATATGAGATGGTGCCAGTCGTTATATTAATTTATGTCACCGCGCCGTTGTTCGACAATAGTGCCCCAAACCAATATAGAGGCTTATTTTTTACTTATTAATTACACAGCTGTATTCGGAATGTGCTAAATTTTATCGTGAATAAGATACCGAACTTGCTATTGGTTAAAATAATCACGTGACAATGATGGGCCGAAAACTGGTACGTTGTCTAGCAAAGATTATAACTCACGGATGCCACCAAGACTGACCTTGAGCGCTATCAAATATTATGCTGTTAACTCGGTAATGCTACATAATTAGGCGATAGATACAATCAGTTTGAAACGCCTCCTCATATGGTCCAGTCTATAATCAATGTAGCTATTTATACAGTAGCACTCGTAACTAACTGTTAATTGTAAGTTATTGTATAAAATGCAAGCAGTTTATTCTTTTTTATAGGCGTCGTCACTTATAACATTACATCATCGGTTATGACCTCAGTGTCAAGAGTTTCTGGATGAATCAAAAATAAAGCAGATATTTCTATTATAAAACGTACTTAGTGGTACGTCCTTACTTACTAGTATAGTTACGTTTTCTTAAAATAGAGCTAGGTGTACTGGGTATCGATAGAGTTTATATAATTTTAGAAAATTAATTAGTGTTATAAAAAACTCGAGTCCTGGAGTCCACATTTATAAACCCGACTCAATTTTGATTCCCCGAGTCGGAGTACGTCGAGTCGCATCGAGTACAAAAAGAACTCGAGTCGTAGTGTTGAACAAAACTCCAGTCCGAAAACTCGACTGAAAGCGAATTGTACTCTGCAAAGTCTCGAACAACTACTATTGCCCACGAATTAAGTAAAAAATAAAAACCCAATTTGATGATTTATAAAAAAAAGATGATTAACCTACTTAATTATACTAAAATTTAGACTCTCGGACTCGAGTTTTTTACAACACTATAATCATTGGTACCTTTTCTAACTTGTATTGATACTAATTTTTACTTACATACAATACAAGGAGGAAAACTATTATTCTAGCTGAACCAAGGTCATTGCTGAACCGGAATTATAGACCGCGATACAAGTAGGGTACCTACAGAATAACGTGTCAGCTTAATGGTTAAACTGTCGATTTTCAGTGCTGCTGGTATATTTCTCGGAGAACATCAATGAAGTGGCAGCTAGAAACTGGGCGCTATTCTCAAGACAGCAGTATTTCGACAGCAAGGGCCTGTTTATTTCGGTCGTCTTCTCCATTCCTATACTGCTAAACTGTATGATTATGGTGGTAAGTTTACAAGTAATACCTTGAAAATAGCACTACACTAAACAGTAATGCATACCTATACGGCGTAATAACCGTTAAACCGTAACGTAAAACATTGACTTGCCGATTGACGTGACGACGATTGCTTACACTGTAAGCAAACTCAAAACTTAATTAAAAAAATAGATTTCTCTGTTTAAGAATTAGCACTTAGCTGACGATTCGTCCTTTTCATCAACATATTATAAATAGAAATCAGAGTAGCTCATAGTGTATAAGTATAATATGTATAATGTGATTTTCTATAACACGTTTAATTGTAAAATAGGTATTGACAATAAACTACAAGTTTTGTTCCTTTGACTTTTAATAATCTATTACATTTTAATTTCATACAAAAATAAAAATATTTAAGTAGACGGATGTACGGTGATAATCTCTGCAAAATGCAGGAGCGCGTGTGGAGGACGCTTTACCAGATACAGATCAAAAAAATGCCTGATAGTCCAACAAAAATGTGGAGGTTATTTTTGGTTATATTTAAAAAGTCATGGAACAAATGGTATTATTTACAATGTTAGTAATTATTAACCGACTTAAAAAAAGGAGGAGGATCTCAATTCAACTGTTTTTTTTTAATATAAAATAACACATTTGACCTCCATCTCTCCTGATGGAAAGTGGCGATGAGGTCGATGATGTAGCATGCACACCTAAATAATGCCTATTCACTCTCGCCTGAAAAGGCCCAAGTATAGCCTTTAGGGAACAAGCCTGCAGGCAGGGAATTCCACTCCATAGCCGTTTGGCATATAAATGTGGAAGCGAAACGCTTCGTGAGAATCCTTGGAATATCCACAACATAGGGGTGGAACAGCCTACGCCTAGTCCTCCGATGGAGGAAAGGGAAGGCGGAATCAAATTATGCAATTCCATCGCACACTCTTCGTGATATATCCTGTAGAATACCGTAATTTATATATAAAAAAAGCTAAATGTATTTTTTGCTCGCATTACATGGACATACAGCTTTCCTGTTCGACAAGTGCGTGTGACTCTCTAAAGTTCTATTTATTTAATTTTAATTTATGTTTTCAGTACACCGCCTCTTATACTCTATATAACTTACGCATCTTTTGTGAGTAATTTATATCTAATAAGAAATTGTTTGGCAATTTCAGGGATCGTGGCTATACCAGTCAACACAAATCATGACGAATCTAAAGAAGGCTCAATTAAGGCAACGTCTCAAAGAAATGAACATGCACAGGGAACAGCAACACATAAAAGCGGAGTAAACCAGGTTCATCAAGGAGTCAATTAAATTGTGATCCTAGAGGTAATATTTTTTGCTATGTTGGATGGTAATCTAATGATTGTTATTGTAACGCCGTATAGATAGAGGTACGCAGTTCCGTGATACACGTATTCATGATACGCAATTGTATGATACACGTTTTTGTGATAATGGGTTTCTTTGACATTTGTAAGAAAAAAATACAACAAAATTAGTCGAAACCATTTTCAGGATCAGTTCAGTACGTGAAGACAAACACTTTTATTACAACGAGAAGAAAATTCGTACAAAATGTTCATACGTTTTTCAACAAAATATATGAGACAACTGATTTCTTTTCGCTTTATTAAAAGGGTTCCCATGTAATAGTTTTGAATAATTTTGTTGAACTTTATATTATGCTGTAAAAGAGGGACAGGTTTGTCGAATAAAACTTAATATTTACTGACAAATATTGGTAAAAGTCCAAGCTTGTGTTTTTAAAAGTCAAATGGACATTACTACCTTTACGCGCTTGCTGTTGCTGGCATATGTGAAGTAACTAGTATGTGGCGTCCCGATAGCAGACATGTTTGATAACCAGAAAGTGCATATACGTAAAAAGCGACATTTCAAAATATTCTTGCAGTTGTGTAACGGCTTTACTGGAATTTCAAGAACAATCGTTCGTGCTTTAACAGTAACACGTTCAATTCATTTATAATCAATTGATTTGTTTTATTTTGTCGTTATAGATGTTATTAAATTAAAAGTCACAATATGAGTTGTTGAAAAAAGAAAAGCATAATGTTATCTGTGTATAAAATTACACCCTATTCCAGGAGTGTTAGGGCTATTTTTATTTAAACTTTTTGCAAATTTAATGTTATGTTTTAATTCATGTGGTTAATCAGAATCTTGCCATAAAGTCTTTTGAATTCAAAAGGCCATAGTTTTATTTTTTGAACCAATCTTCATCAAATTGACTTTGTATTACAGTATAAAATAATAATTACCAATTACTTATAAGAGACACAATAATACTATTGCGAAGTCTATATCCGAACATGTCGTTGTATATATGTTTTATATTACATTAACTTTATAAATAACTATATGCAGAAAGAGTATTTGACCTCTCTTACAAGTTAAAGTGTTCTGGAAAACTTTTTTGCATATAGCGATTCATATTATGTATATTTTCTTTTATTGATTATGATTATACGGACGATCACACGTCGCTATATAAACTAGTCTTGTCAAAACTAATTGTATTATGGTCACTGAGGCGTCGAATGTCAACTCACAATATATCGCACCCCTCCATAAGTGGAGTTACGTCAGACATGTTTATTGCTCCATTAGGTACAGAAAAATATAACCCACATCCTCTCCAGTTCTTGGAACTCTACCTACAATATTAGTCGCTAGAGCTACAAGAATTGGAGAGGATATGGGTTAAATTTTTATGTATCAGTGGAACAATAAACGTTTTTGACGTAACTCCATTTATGCCATTCTTCGATGAGGAGTGCGATATTTATTGTGAGCTGATATACGATTATATTCTCATATTTTTTCACGATGAATTTATGCTTATTTCGCACCTTTTTATTCCAGTTTTGCATTTTCCTCTTTAAAAGTTCTTGTACTTAAGTAATCATCTAAGGATGCATTTAAAATTGCATTGAATATAGTGTCAGTATGTATCAGACAACTCTAGTTAAAGGGGAATAAACACTGTACCTTCAGATTGAAGCAAAATTATGTGTGGTTCTAACACCTTTTATTTTCTATATAATTTTAGGGTTTCTTTGTCGGCTAAGAGAGGCACCACGTTTATTAATGCGAAATCGGCCTGAACCGGTCTGAGATAGCTTTATGTCCATGCAACAAGAGCGAAAAAGATGTTGCTCGTTTCTCTTAATTTGTGTGGTGACTTGGCGTGAAGAAACAATTTGTTGCCCTATTTGGGAACAATAGAATATGCAAATAAAAACAAATTTCAAGCACTTGTGATGAGCGCAAAAACCGACGAAGATTTTTCGATTATTTACATAAAAATACTATCACTCACTAAAATATTTTACAATAATGCTCGGTAATAAATGTATTCATGTCAAGCCCTTCAAGACTAGTGATGCAACGGAAGTGTTATAACGGAAACAGAAACGTAAAAACAGATGTCAAAAGTAAATCTTAGCGGAAAATTGCTAAAAAAACATGCGCCCCACCGTCAAACAAACCGCGCGCGCACCACATCCGTTTTAAACTTCCGTGACAAAAATTGCTAAAGCAGAAACGGAACCAGATGTGATAAAATTGCGGAACTTCCGCAACCGCAGTTGCGGAAGCAGAGGTAAAGGTCAGTTGCATCACTAGACTAAAGGAGATAACTATGTCGTTTTTGTTCGTTTACACTACTCCCTCTGCTTTTTATTTTCTTATACATTAATGAAATTTTAGTTTGGACTTATTCACAATAAAACATATTGTTGAGGAATAGTGGTAAAATCAAGCTCAAAGTAAAAGTAATTAAATTTTTTTTATTGAATTGATATTCAATTATTTTTTGTCAAATTACTCCACTAGTTTTTTTATAATTGTAAATACAAGGATCGAACACTTAGAAAAAAATTCTTTCGATCGTTCCAATCCTCCATGTTGTTGAAAACTAAATACAAAGATCCGACAACAAGCACATAGAAAGATTCGTGAAGTCCACTGGTTTGTTCCGTGGCTTAGTTAGCATAGCGTATGGTACGGTTTGCTAGGAGACGTCTCGGTTCGAATCCGGCCGGGTCGAAGGATTTTTTCTAAGTCTTCGTTCTGTGCATTAATAATTAAGATTATAATTTAAGAAAATCTAAAAGCCATCAGGGCAGCGTGTTGCGGACCGGCTACTGGACGAGGTAGATATAAATACATTTTTATTTTCTGTTGCTCTATGTCAATGTTTTTTATCCATAGTTCGCTCGGTTCTGTTTTTTGTTTTAGTTAGATTTTCTAAAATTATTTTTGAGCTTGATTTCCCCACTACTCCTCAAAACATATTCTTAAAAAAATTCGTGTGACGACTATTTTCTACATGTAATGCGCTATGTTGTTACAAATATATGAATCTGTAATTGTTGCGTTTAAAAACAAAAATAAAAAGTATTGTTCCCTTAAATAAACACTTTAATTTCTAAGTAACTTAGTTGTTGATTAATCGAACTTCAGGAACTTCATTAATTATTTTTGTTTTGTTTATGGTTTTTGTCCGTGGATTTGAAATGACTTTTTTATTTAGTATTTAATTTTAGTTGGCATAATATTTCTATTCACATCATGCTTAATAAAAAAATATGTACCATTATTTTTCTATTGCATTAACAATTCATCAATCTTGCCTTTTATAGTATCTAAATTGTAGATTGCAAAAATACTTTTAGTCCTTTTAAACTCTGGATATCATAGTGCCATTCTGCCCTCAGAACGAAAAAAGGCACAACTGCTGTATAAAGTACACATAGTTGTGCCCTTTTTAACATCTGTTTTATTTATCATGTTTGTAATCAACTTATTTGAATATACATATATATATATATATGTAACAATGCAGCAACATTTTTCAGAAAGTTTCGAGTGAAAGTTAGTCATAGCTTCTCTTTTTTGCATATGCGTGTGATAATAATTATGAAAGTATTAGTGATAAAGGTGCAATGATAATATGTTAGTAATAGAGATGTGCTAGAAGGAACAGGTGTAGGAACATCTCGTTTGTCTCTTAAATTTGCAGTCATCGTCGAATCCAGGTGACTTCCATAATAAAACCACAAGAATTATGAAAGTCCCATTAACGCACTAAAGGAAGTGTTTAATTTTTATTTGCATTTACAAACAAGTTGAAATGGTACCTGTCAGTGGCGAGGCGTGAAAATTTTCGTTAGTGAAGCCTGTTAAAAAAATCGCCTACCTTAACAAAAACTTATTTTTTTCGTAAAAGGCGTGCATAGTATAATAATCGAATTGGACGAAAGGGGCCACTTACAAATAAATAGTATAGAAAAATCAAAACAAATGTTACCTGTTAAAAAAAATCTTGAAAATACGCCCTGGCGAAACTTAAAACAATACTTATTAACAGACAAGACACCAGTAAAGTTAATTTCACTGGTTCCATAAATATAACATTTATTACATTATTTTAACAATTAAGTACTTGTAAACTTGGACCAATCGCGACAAGTGAATGCAATTGATGCCACTTTACTTTTTAATTGAAACTACTAATTAACACGAGCTTCTCTCTCCTTTACGTAGGCTAAGCCTAGTAAAATAAAACCCCTAAACAAACATTTTTGTAACGCTATTTATCGTTCAACATTTACAAAATACTAATAGACCTTAATATGTTATTATAATATTTGTATAATAGTAAAACAAAAGTTTTACACTTGGCAAGAATCTTTCCTAAGAAACATATTGGCGGCAAATTAGTACGGTTCTTGAAAAATCAACCTTCACGCCATATATCTTAAATTTAAGTGGATATTCGATCATACCTCGATCATTAGCGTGTTACCGACGAGCCTTTTCTACCAATGTATGATAACGGACTTTTGCGAATGTGCGTGAATTGTGATGTGACGAAAGCCGAAAAATTACCAGCTTAACTCGGGCTGTGATTGGTTAATAAGATCCATCGGGATGCGGGACAGGTTACTTACTACACGTTTACTATGAATATTTTGAGTAAAGTTTTTAAGTAGTGGGGTATGCGCGCTGTCTCGTACAGTGTTTTGATTATACGTGGGAGATTTTAGGCAAGCCGTTGGGAATTTTTAAAGTTATATGGACGCCTCGCCACTACTAGGTACCTGTACAAGTTTAAATAATTTGTTCCAAGTTGTTCAGGCTTTATTCTTCTGCGACCAGTCGTAATTTTTAGATTTGTTTCCTCTGCCTAATTCCAGATTGGCTAATTCCGGTGACAATTTTTATTATTTACATTTTCTATAATATTATCAGGAAGCATTATTTGATTCGAGTGTAGTAACCTGAAAATTTATTTAATATACTAGATTAGGAAATGAAACAATTTTTCCGGTTTTAAATCGCGTATATTTGTTTTTTCAAACAAACCGACGTTTCGGGCCCTTTACAGGTCCCATGGTCACGGTTGACTGAAACAAATATACGCGATTTAAATCCGGAATAATATAGTTTCATTTCCTATGTGTAACAATCGCGAAAACCTAAGAACTCGACATATACTAGATTACTTAAATAGTAAAAATTGCCACCGCAATTAGGTAAAGAAAAATACAACTTGAAAATTATCCACTACTAAACTAATAAAACATTTTGTGGGCAGATGACTTAGTTTAAAATGTCATACTTCCTAGATAATTCTTCAGACAATAAAACACATTTTTTAAAACAAGATGTATTTTAAATGGGCATTGATGCATACGTTTTTTGAATCATATATATTATTTTATTGCCGTGAATACTATTTTCCCTTATATTATTGCTTTGTAACACTAACCTTTGTTTCTTTCAATGTTAACATAATATTATTTATACATTATAAGTACTAAATGTTCGTACGTACTCTATCAAAAATGTATGTTATATATTATATATAGCTTATATTTTTTTCATAACTTAACCTATTTTCCCATACTCAAAGGGATCTCATATCTCTTTTGGCCATATCTGAAAAATTTGAGGAAAAATAAACTAACAACGGCCATAAGACAACCATATTCGTGCCTATTTATAAATGTATAGTTATTAACGGCATTATTAATAAGGTAGTAAGTAAATTGCTTTCCGTTTATAGTACGGTATTCAGCGTCCACTGTTCCGAGCTGTGGTATAATAGCTCCGCGTAATCTAGGGTGACGGTCTAAGGGTGAGGCCAGACGAGCGTCTCAAAAAACGCAACTCACAACTCGTAAAATTACGCTCGTCTAGCCTCACCCTAACTGGTCAAAGTTAATAAAAATAAGCAACGAATAGGAGGTTATACGTGCTAGAAATCACAGACGACTTAACACGTAAGGACACTTGTCAGGCCTAAATGTAAATTATACGTCCAAAAAGTCTTACGGGACTTAGGGTCGTATTCTAGAACTCTACTCAATGCTCAAGTCAGGATTTGCGTGGTTTAAAGCACTCGAAATGATACTCAAGTCCCTGCCATTAGGGTCGTATTTCCAGTGCTTGTGTTGCCAGTGCAATCCTGACTTGAGCATTGAAGAGAGTTCTAGAATGCGACTCTTAGTCACCCATCCTAACGTAGTTGTAATACTAGAGACTCCAGTGGTCGATGTGTTAACGGAAGACTGAGCCGTGTAGTGACTATGTCTAGTATGAAGATCTGGAACTCATAATATTAATTGATAATACAAAAAAAATTAAGTTTCACTACTTATTTCTAATGCTGTTTTTATGAGGTCAGGTCAATAGTGCTTTCTAAATTTGTTTGCAAACTTGGTGGTTCATAACTATGGGACAATATTTGAAGCTATAAGCGCTAAAATGGTGTAACTACATAATTTATTTTTCCACAATATTATTTTATATGATACTAAAGTAGGTACATAATTCTTTTATTTATTAATGTTATTTTTATGTATAAAAAATATTAATCGTTACAATTTTTTATACATGAAAATAGGATTCAAATACAAAATTATGATATAGTTTATTATCATCATCATTTAAAGTTAGTAATATTGTAGAAAAAAAAAAATGGTGGGTACACCACTTTTGCGTGTTTATCGTTTTTTTATGGGAAGGTTTATGTCACAAAGTTAAAAGGTATAAACGACAGCATTAGTCACGACTGAAAGAGTTAAGAAGTAGCTAGACGAGCGTTGTAAATATGTTTCTTATTCTGTATACGACAAGTTGTAGAACAATGCAGTAAATGATGTGACCTCATAAACAAAAGTGAACATGTAATATGTCAGGACTAGGTTTAAGTGCAAAAATATTTGTATGCTTAGCCCGCTTACTAATAAAATAGAATTACACTAGTCCACATTCAGAGTGTAAGGAACAGTTTACCTAAAATTGTAAGAAAAAGTCAAGTTTTCGGTACACCGTTCCTTACGTGCAGTCTAGGTTGACAATATGATTTGGTTACGGACGCTTTAAATAAAGGAATTGAATTAACTTGGAGCGTTTTATTTGTTTTTTTTTTAAACACGTAATGACCTTAAAATACAATAAGAAAAACAAGAAAAAACGGTTGAAAATTTAACACTGGGTATATATACACACTACACCAACCAATGATCTTGAATGAAAACAGGTAGTACATAGTGCGCACTATAACTTTCCGGAACTGGCCACTTACATATACAATATTTAAAAAGTAATTACAACATTTGAAAATGGAACTCTGGCTGTAGAATACAGTTTGTTTCATCTGAATGTCACTTATTTTTATATTGTGGCGTCAATTTAGGAATTGGTTGTCTACATCACCATGGATTTATCTCTTGAAAATTTTCGTAGTATGATTTTCTACGACTTAAAGTGTAATTCAACAGCTCAGCGGAGCTTCGCTCGGCTTCAAACTGCTTTTGGCGATGAAGCACCATACAAGACGACTATTTATAGCTGGTTTGCAGAATTCAGACACGGTCGTGAGAATCTCAGTGACGAATTTCGTGATGGTCGCCGGTCCACTGCTGTGAACAACAAAAGCATCGATGCTGTGCGCCGTATGATCAAAACAGAAAGGCATGAGACATACCTGCGATTCGGGCATCTTTAGGCATAGGCTTGAGTCAAATACAATCAATACTACACAAACATTTAGGTGTGAGAAAGCTGTGCTCTCGGTGGAACCCACACAATTTGACTGAGGCTCAAAAAACGGATCGCGTCACTTGGTGCAATGCTATGCTTACCAGATTCAACGAAGGGGCGTGAAATTTGTTGTGGGACATAGTAACAGGTGACGAAACATGGATTTATAATCACGATCCCAAAACAAAGCAGCAATCGAGCGTATTAGTCTTTCGAGATGACCAACCAAGTGGCGCGCGTGCAAAGTGCCTTTAAGCGGATGGTTGCTTCTTTTTTTAATAAAACTGGACACGTGGCTACTGTTGCTTTGGAGAATCGTACCGTGAATAGTGATTGGTACACTACCATTTCTTTGCCGGAAGTTATTCATCATCATCATATTCGTATCATCTTGCATCACGATAATGCCAGTTCTCATACGGCCAGACAGACAAATGAACTTTTGAAGGTGAACAACGTTGACCTTATGAACCATCCCGCGTACAGTCCCGACCAGGCACCTTGTGTATTTTATTTATTTCCAAAAATTAAGAACCAGTTACGCGGTCAACAACTTTCATCACCTGAAGAGGCTGTCAAAGTGTATGAAAAATATGTTTGAGAGATTGTTACATAAATGACATAAATGTTTTCAAAATTGGTTCATTCGTATGAAAAAGTGCATTAACGCTAACAGAGAATATTTTGAGAAACAATAAATTCATTTCTGACCATTTTTATTTACATTACATTATTCATTCCGGTGACTTAATAGTGCGACTCACGATAGCCCCACGTACATATAGTGTATAAGATCATTGACACTAACCAAACATTCAGATAGAATAATGTTGCATGGGTAGCAGGTCTATAAACTTAGTCCTTTTTTAAATTGTACATTACATAATATAACAATAACCATTTCATAGAAAAACTTGTAAGGACGGATACATAATGCTTTTGGACGGAATGCTTTTTGCTGTCAATATTTTGGATTAGGCTGGATTCTTGGAGCGAACCCGTCAACACATCAACGTGACTCCTATTTCATAGTAACAATACTCTTTGTAAAAAAGCTGTGATAGCCTAACGGTTTCAAGCAGAGCCTGTAGGTTCGAATACGGGCTCGCGTTTTTTCGGAATTTACGAGTATGTGCGAAATTTAATTTTAACTTTACTATGAGCTTTTCAGTGAAGGAAAACATCTTGGTGAAACCTGCACGTCGAAGAAGGTTCACAACCATCATACACCGTGTGAAGTCCCTAACCCGTATCGAGCCAGCTTAGCACACTATGGCCTAAAACCCCCGCCTGAGGGAGACCCGTGCGAGCAGTGGGACATACAAATGGGTTGATGATGTTGATGATATTGTTTGTGGTATAGCCTCCGGTACTATATCTCTGCTTCGACACGAAGTACGCACACTCGTACTATGCGCATTGGCTCGAAGAAACTAGCCTAATGTTTTAATAACAAATTAGAAACTTCCTATGTATTATCGTGGGAACGTCCGCAATTATCTAGAAGCGGCAATCTTCTCCTTGACTTCCTTAATCATGAGACTGACTAGATTGTCGATATCCACTTCTGGTTTCCATTGCCAGTCCCGACGTGCTTCGCTGTCATCGAACACCTGAGGCCAGGAGTCCGCTGTAAGTAATACACACTAATATTATAAATGCGAAAGTACCTAACTCTGTCTGTTATGTTTTTTGCGCTTAAATCGCTGAACCAATTTTGATGAATTTTGGTATAGATATAAATGTAGATGGGACCTAGAAGAAGGACTTAGGCTACTTTATGTTTTGTCACAAAAATAAATCTAAAAGTTTGTATGGAAAACCAATACAAACAATCAAAATTTAGTACAATAGACTACTCGAAGTTCTTATTCTTGAAAGACGAAATCGCGGACATCTGTAAGTAATTTATATAATTATTGAAACTGTTTATAAATGCATTGAACAGGGTTATTTTTAATTGAACTAAAATTAATATATCGAGTTCTTAGGTTTTCGCGATTGTTACACATAGGAATTGAAACTATTTTTCGTTTTTGACTCTGTCGTCAACCATGACGAGAGCCCGAAACGTTGGTTTGTTTGAAAAAGCAAATATACGCGATTTAAGTCCGGAAAAATAGTTTCTTTTATCATGTACTTCTTGTAAGTCTTAATGCAACTCGTACTTCTTTTATTATACTTAATGGACACACGATTGAACACAATCTCACTTTATGTCAAGTGGTGAGGTGATTATATATAACGTAAGTATAATAAATTTACCTTTTTTTTTATTTATATCTACGCTACGCTACTATATATTTATATGACGACGTCTTCATGGTATTGCGACCTCCGAGGTCTCCGGTGCGATCCCCGGCCGAGTCAATGTAGAAAACTATCTGTAATTATTGTCTCGGGTCTGGGTAGGTACTCGGATCATTGTTTCCTATTTCCATATCACAAATGGTTTAGTTATTTACTTAGGAATCAGGCGACGTATGTTATATTGTCTAATATTTGCCGTCCATAATTAAAACGCGGCTAAGTGAAAAAAGTAACTTTTTGAGATATCATAAAAACCATAACCCCATTTCAGAACATTGAAATTGTTTAATGATATTTCAGCTATGCGTCGTTAGGGTAAGTTCCGATAAGTCGAACAAGTTAACTCTTTTTAAAAGAGAATTTTGTGCTTTATTTTTTGCTATCTAAAACGGTTATTTGACCGTTTGTCACTTAGCCGTTTTAGTTAGTGGACGGCAGATATTTATTTAGGTATTTACTTCTATATCTACGAAACATTTTTTTATTGTTGTATATTTTAAATTAATGACTTTGATTTACACTTTTAGTAATAACATGAACCGTTCATTCAAGAGGACTGCTAATCATATCAACAAGACAACGTGGTCGAGTATTATTGGTACACCAGATGTCGCGACTAGTATAATAATACCTATATTTAAAACTATTATAATTTGTTTCATTGGTTCTGTAATAGTCTGTGTAGGTTCTCTGTCGTTGTAGATTTGTAGATTCTCCAGTGAATTCTGTCGAAATTCACCGATCAATTTTTGAGTAAAAACGCGACTTCTCAACCTGACATTGGCGAAATCATCGATTACTTCGATGGGGCCATGACATTTAAAAAAATAACAGGACTAGATGTAATTTGTCAAGTGGTCAAAGCTATTCTAATTTCTAGTGACAAAAAACAAATCAACTAGGTGGCACTTATTGCACAGATTTTTGTGGCAGTGCCGACTATTCTTTTATTTTGTTTAGTATTAGCGCCATCTACCCATATTAGGAAGCATTAATTTGTAACACACGATGTCATTTATTGACACGTCTGTTAGTCAAAGTTCTGAAAATCATAGTAGCTCACGTACAATATTTGAATAATACTACAAGGCAAAAAAATACTTCTTATGCTGTCATATTTAGATTTTGTTATATTTTATATTACATCTACATACATATTAATATCTACGGCCATTTATATAATATAAACTACTTCCAGGCTATTGATCGGCGCCATCTAGACATAAGACGGAAATTTGACCTTTTTCAAAGTTACGATCTGTAGCACATCTGTAGTATGGAGATTAGCAGTCCTCTGGAGTTATTTATTGGTCCATGGTAATAAGGTACTTCAAGTTACTTTTAACCGTACAATAAAGGCCAATAAATGAACGGAATTGAAAACCGACTCTTTCTGCTACAAACAGCGATAAGCGCTTATTCAAAACAAAACTAATTTAGTACAAGTTACGACTCTATTGACATAGATTCCACAGTGAACTTTTACAATGGTGGTTTGCGCTCAATACGCACTGAAGGTTGTATAGTGTACTATTTGCATAATATCTTTTCTATGCCAGTTAAATATAGATTCTATAGATACATGCACTAGCGTCAGTCTATAGAAATTAATAGATACTTTTTAGGATAGAATAAGTATGCATCTTTCATCCGCCTTCTTCCAGTACTAGCACCGCAGCTTCCCGTAGGTGAAAGAAAGAGATTAAGACATGAACAGACAAGAATGGTATATGTTACAGTGAATAAATAAAGAAGAACATAAAATTGAGCAGCTATGAAGAGGTCAAGGAGCCTGCTATGAACCGTGAGGAGTGTGGGAGTGTGAATGTGACGATGAGGTTGACGATGGAGCATAATGCCTCATAAATTGAATAAAGCGTATTCACTCTTTAAAAAATAATGTGACTGATGTTAGGCGTATGGACTATAGCCTAAACTCTCGCCTGAGAGGAGAACCATCCCCAGCAGTGGAATGTATAAATGGGTTGATGATAATGTTAGAAGAGACTAAACTATGAAACTTGATATCGTGAATGTCTAAGCACGCTATGCACATGACATACATACACGTAATCGAAGCATCCATATAATAAAGGTAAGTAAGTATGTATAGATAATTTGCACATTAGGATTAGTTTTAGAAAGAGTTTTTTTTTATATAATATCAAGTGACGGGACGAACAAATTGTACGCTTGAAGGTAAGCTACATACTTGTCCATATCAGTTACAATGCCACTCAGAGCTTTAAATTGCAAAGATCTGAAGGGCACTACCACTGCGCCCGTCACCCTGAGACAAGTTGACAAGTCGCATGTGTCTGTAATTTCATCAGCGCCCTTATCCTTCAAAACCGGAACGCAGTGATGTTCCCAATAAGTACTGCTTATCAGCAGAAATAGGTAAGGTTTCAGTACTTCTCTGGACGAACTCTTTCACAAGGAGCTCTAATGCTACTATAGTACGGTATTTTTATCTACCTAGTTCTGCTTTGTGGTCAATATACAAGTCATCCTTGTCAAATCAGGCAAAAACAGCTGTCTCTTAGGTAGTCGCTACTCTTACCGATGCGGAATGGGCCTAAACCGGTCAGAAAAAGTTTTATGTCCATGCAAAAAGACCGAGAATCGAGAAGTGTGGATTAGTACAAAGCTTTCGTAAAAAATATAGGAACGCTAATCTCATCTCATCAAGTACTCTAATGGAGTGTTAGTAGTTAAAAGTAAGATTTTTAGATTAGATCTGGTGTTTTCTTTTTTATTTTTAATACCTATGTAATATACAGGGTGCCCTGCGACAGTGTGACACGAAAGGAAAATACTTTCAATATTGTTGATACGATATATATAATAAAGCTTTATGGAGATATTATTTTATTCTTAAAAGTACTTATTTAATACTGCATAAAATGTGTTTTAAAAGTAGCTTGTCTCATTTGGGAATCAAATCCAACAAATGATATGATATTATAGACACAGATACTAAGTTAGTTAAAAGGATTTAATCCTTATAAATTACCCTTTCGATAGGCATCATAAAAATACATATTAAAATTAAAAATAAAATAAATTTTGTAGCAGTAGAAGTCCTTGTGACAGAGTTCATCCAGGGAAGTACTGCCACCTTACCTATTTCTGCCGCCAAGCCGTAATGTGAGTATTACTGCGTTCCGGTTTTTAAGGGTAAGGATGCTGGTGAAATTACAGGCACTTGGGACTTGTCTTAGGGCGATGGCCGCAGTGGCAGTGCCTTTCAGATCTTTGCGATTTAAAGCTCTGAGTGGCGCTGCAACTGTTATGGACAGGCGTAGTATCATACAAAAAAAAAGCAGGGTACTTCTTTATATTATTAACTATAATTATATTATAATAGTACTTATGTAGTGCAATTATGTGCTCTCAACTTACCAATATCCTGTCTACTATCAGGTTTATATGTAATCTGTAGCTCTGGAATGTATTTCGATATTTTGCCAGTCAATTCTTCAGGAGTGAAACTCATGGACGTGACGTTGTACACTCTCCTTATGAGTTTCTCGTTAGGGGCCTCTAGGAATTCAGAAAGCGCACGGAGGGCGTCTCTCACGTGCATCATAGGCAATCGCGTGTCCGGCTTAAGATAGCACTGGTAATGCCCTTTACGGAGGACGTCGTGGAAGATTGCAATCGCGTAGTCTGAAAATAGTGGAAAATGTATATTATATACTAGTATAGAATTGTATTATCTGTGATAGGAATGCACTTGTAACAAATCTAATAACGTATTTTCTAATGTTAATGTGTATTATATGCAAATTAAAATTCAGCACATGTAAACTTATGTGTTTACTTACTTGTATTAGGACGATTTTATTAAAATATATTAAAAATATTTCTATGTAGGTGACAAAAAATAAAAAATGACGAATATTAATTAATATTTAGGCATAATCTGAACACTCCCTGAATTAGCGATGGCCGATAGTATAATCGAAGTAATTTTATTGCTTATATCAATTACATTACACTATTTTTGATTGTGGATCAAATATTGATTGCCAATCGAAATAGTTACTAATTTACTTGTTACAAATTTTTGATTGTGGATAGATTTTTGTTTATTGATCGATTGTCGATTATGGATCGAATTTCAGTTTTTAGTAAGAACACGTAATACAGCAAACGCGGACGATTGATGACGAGTGAATTGATCGCACCGCGCTGCGCTTTTTGCTAGCTTTACGCGGATATTTATGAATAGAGGCAAGTGGCCATGATAGCCTAAGTGTGGAACATTTGATATTTAGGGGAAAGCATTTGCCAAGAGTATTGCATATTTTATTTAACTTGTATATTGGTCATGGATATGTGCCACCAGAAATGATTCGTACAGTGGTTGTACCAATTGTAAAAAATACGACTGGTGACATATCTTCGACTAGAAATTACAGACCCCTATCATTGACAACTGCTGTAGCAAAGGTTTTGGATGGTATTCTGAACATGCGTCTGCAAATGTGTTTAAGTCTGGACGATAGCCAGCTAGGTTTCCGGCCACGTTTGTCAACGGAGTTGGCAATTTTGAGTTTAAAACTCACAGTGTCTTACTACACTGAACGGAAAACAAATGTATACGCATGCTTTTTAGATCTTTCCAAGGCCATTGACCTGGTTAACTACAATCTGTTGTGGAAGAAATTAGAGGGATTGGGGATGTCTAGGGACTACATTAACTTGTTTAAATTTTGGTATAATAATCAAAGTAAGTAAAAAATATTCAGATGATTATGTACTAAGTTGTTGAGTTAGACAGGGTGGTTTAAGCTCTCCCAGCTTGTTTAACCTCTATATTAACGGATACATTGAAGAGCTGAGCAGCAGTCATATTGGCTGTCATATTGGAGGAAGAAGTGTTAATAATCCAAGTTATGCAGATGATATGGTGCTGCTTAGCCCTTCAATTAGAGGGTTGAGGAAACTACTTTTCAGCTGTGAAGAATATGCCAAGTTACATGGCTTGGTTTATACCTAATATTGAGAAAATAGTTTTTATGGTCTTCAAATACAAAAAAGGATGAGATTTTGTACCTGATTTGTGTCTGAATAGTAGTAGGTTGGTTAGGGTGGATAAATTCCGTTATCTTGGTCCTATAGTTAAAAAAAATAATAAAAAAATAATAAATAACGCACACACTCAACATAGCCCCGCACTAGGGAAACCCTGTGTCGCGGGTGCCATGGACACACATATAGACAACCACAAATTACACCCAAACTCACGAGAGAAATAATTGTAGGCCATACAACTATTTCTCCCGGCCCGGGAATCGAACCTGGTACCTCTGCGTGGCAGTCCGGCATGGTAACCGTTCGGCCACCGAGGCAGTTAAAGGCAGTTACTAAAAATCTTAGTGATAATGATAATATTGAGCGAGAAAGGAGGGCATTAGCAATGCGTGGTAATATGTTGGCCAGGAGATTTGCACTATGTTCAGATCAAGTTAAAGTAATGCTCTTTAAGTCGTACTGTCAGACACTATATGCCTAACAAGCGTACAATGCCATCCGCATTCAATATAACGATGTATTTAGAGCTATGTTTAAATTGCCAAGATACTGTAGTGCATCTGAAATGTTTTTGTTAGCACGTACAGACGGGTTTGCTGCTGTGCTTAGAAAGAGGGTTTCTTCTCTTAGACAGAGAGTGCTAGATAGTACTAATAGCATTATAGCTGCTATAACTCGTAGTTGCGGCTCATCCATACTGCGACATTGGATTTCGATTATTAACAATTAAGTACCTATATATAATATTTAATTCTAATTTAACACGTTCCCTGTGGAACTAGAAATCAAAAATTGACCCCTCACGTGCAATTTTTTTTTTTGCAAATACGTCGGAATTGATATATATTAATACATTTATGGATAGAAAATTCATTTTCATAAACTCCCTTTCCATTGTCTAATTTTTCCCGAGTGCCCCATATATGATACACTCACGTATGAGCTCTTTACTTGATGCCACATATATGGTGCATGCACGTACTAGTTGTTTACTTAATGCATTTTGACAGATGTTTTAGTTAAATATCTGTAATCTATGTGTAGTCTATGCCGTGAAAAGATAGAAAAAGTTAGTGAAAGTTTATTATAAAGTGTTACGAGTTATATAGTTATCTAAGTGTTTGACAAAGTTTTGGTTTTATCAACATGTCATGATCATCAAATGGCAATGTCCACAGGTTATTTATATAAAATTTTATATAAAATTGTATTAGATTACAATCGCGGCAAGAAGGGCATTGATATAGCTGATCAGCTCGTAGCTCGCAAGTTACAATTCGCCCGTTCGCAAAACTTGTTTTTGGTATAAAAAAATTGCGGGTGATCTGATGTCGGTAGCTGTTGTAAATGCAATTTTGATCTAGAAGGACCTCCATCGAAATAATAAAATGACACTGCTGACAGGTCATGAAATAATTATCAGTCATCTCCTGGAAATTCAATATGCTGAGCCGTTAGCTGGGCCATCAATGACATCTAACTTGTCCCGTCATGAATTGACCAAAATCCCACGCCGATGTGCTACCAAAATTTCCAGAAAGCGTTGCGTTGGTTGCTACAAAATTATGACTGAGCAAGGCAACACACCTACAGAACCTCGTAGAAAGGCAAAGCAAACGGACACCGAATGTTTGATGTGTAAAAAAGCATTGTGCCTTCATTGCTACAATGCTAGCCATTAAATAATGATTTTAGTTGTGCTTACCAGACAATTTTTGATTCTTGGGTTTTATGACATTGTTTATTTGATTATTGTTTAGTTTATATTATCATGTGCCGTATACGCAAGTCAATAATTAGTCCTTTCTAACTTGTAATAAAAAAATAATAAATATTTTTCGTGATTTATTTTGATAGTAATAATCTGGCAACATTGGTTAAAAAGTCATCCGGTACCACTTGCTTATTGTCACAATTTTTGTGGTCCATACGTGCAAGCAAATAAAGATGATCTAGCTTACACGTGCAAATTTTGAAAAACTTTTAAATTTACAAAGGGTCGTGTCTCATATGTGGTGCACTCACGTGTCGTTTGGACCTCGAAATGCATCACATATGATGCATGCACAGGGAACGTGTTAACATTATTGTAATTCTATGGGTTTGTTCTGTCTGAAATAAATGATTATTATTGTTTAAATCGTTTAGTTGATTTGTTTAATTAATGGTTTTTTTTACTAATTTCTATATTTAAGCTTTACTAAAAGAGAATGAAATAGTAAATCGTTTAATTATTATCGATCACCCCTTGCTACTGTTTCGCTAGCCCGCGCGCTCCTATAATGTTACTAAGTTAGTAATACTTATTATCTATTGATTGTTAATAAATTAGTAATCGGACCAATTGTTACTAAAGTAACAGGACTTATTATTTTAATTTTTAGTAACCTTTTTTGTATCATTTATATTTCCGTAACATAAATCCGTACTAAATTAGTAACTAAATCCGATTATTTTCGTTAAAGACTACTAAATCGAAACTAAAATACAGGATAGTACGTACGGTACGGTACGATTTATTCGATGTTTTTTTTAGTAACGATCTCCCATCGCTACCCTAAATTCAGAGACAGCGCTACATTAACGATGATATAGTGAAGAGTTTCGGTTAAGATGGACTTGCCTATCAAGTAGGCACCTAAGCATATGACTTAGGTACTAAGTACCTATTGCTAAAAAACTCACCTGTGGTACCTCCACCGGGCGGGTCACTTGAAATAACTCCTGGGAACCTCAGACAACGGAAGTCCAAACCAAATCTATGATAATAATATTCCCCTAACAATTCCGCGTGCACTTTAGACACGCCGTAGATTGTTCTAGGTCTTTGCACAGTGACGTTAGGAGTAGGATTCCTCGGAGAATCTGGTCCGAACGCGCCTATTGTACTAGGTACAAAAATTCTTAGCTTATACTGTTTTGCTAACTCTATGACATTGTGCATTCCTTCAATATTCACCCTCACAGCTAAAGGTACGTTTTGCTCTCCTATGGCGCTAAGAAGGGCAGAGAAGTGTATCAACCAATCGACTCTATGGTTGACGACTATCTTCTGCAATCCTTTGAAGTCTAAAATGTCGGCGAAGATATAAGGACCATCGTTGACGACGTCGTTGGTCGGTTTGATGATATCTGAGAGAATAACATTGTCGCGTCCGTATTTTCCGCGAAGATATTTAGCGCACTCTACACCAAGTTGACCTAGACCACCTGGAAAATGACAATGGACATATTAAATTAATGTTTTCTTAATAGTATTCAATAACCTTTCTTTCTATTTGTCGTGTCGTGTCCCAATTTGCGCTGCATATGTGTCTATCTATGTATATGGCAATGCACGGTAAACATTGTATGTATAACGAGTCCCACGTGCAGTTTCACCAGCTCTATCTGTTAGCTCAGAACAAATTGTGTACCTACAACAAATCACATATGGAGAGGGAAACTGGTTGCAAGTAGCACTCATTACGCAACAAATGCCATACTAAATGCGTACCTACTACATAATTTAAACATAATTTGCTCTTATTGCGATTCTATTTCTTGTAATATGGTAAACATGTTTGTTATTACGACGGCACGTGACGCATATCCTTCACAATAAACATATCGACTACCCCGCCGAATAAACGTATTATATTATAGTATATAATAAACGTAGAAAATATACGTTAATTCAGTGAAGCATTATATATCGTATAAAGTATGTCAAAATTATTAGAAAATGTATTGGGTTCATTTGATAGGTAGCGATTGGGCTTACAATTGCTGGTGAAATTACAGGCACATGGGACTTGTCAACTTGTCTCAGGGTGACGGGCGCAGTGGCAATGTTCTCGATCTTTGCGATTTAAACCTCTGAGTGGCACTGCAACTGTTATGGACAGGCGTCTAGCTTACCATCAGGAGCACGACTTGTTGGTCCCATCACTTGATGTTATTGTCTAAAAAAATTGCTTTAGAGTTATTCTTTATTCACCTCTGTGATTCAAGAATACTTGATTTTAATGTAGGTATGTAGGTGTGTTTTATTAGATATTTTTTTAAATAGGTGTATTTAAAATTTCAGTACAAAAAACGTCACTCACATGTGTATAGCTTTCCTTAACTCTTGTTTATTTACATTCTTAAAACTTCATTCACTTTCGATTTTCATACGGTCCACTTGTGAAGAGTTATATTAAATTCAACTCACCGGTGATTAAAATTTTCGGCGATTTTTTTGGTACAGCGACGCCATAAGTTCTTATAGTTTGTTTTACAAAGTTCGGGCATAAACGCCTTAAATACATTATTAGTAAATGAACGCGATATATCACAGAGTGTTATGCAAGGTAACTGGAAACTATTAGCCGACAGACTTAGGCGTTGGATGTTAGTAAAAACTGGTTGCTCGGGCACTGTATCGCCGCCGCCGCAGCCTTTCCGTCAATTACTTCGCTCCAATAGCCATTTCAAATTCAACTTTAACACGGCGGATTGTTGACACGAATTGTTTGTACAATTGGCAAGTGCGGTAGATTTGGTGGGCGTGTCACGTTGCATACTTAATTTTGCTAACTTAACATTGAAAATTTCAGGACGTGGCGTTACGTAAGACAATTTATACTCTAAACAATGTAAGATGATTTAAACATATTGATGAGGAAATGTACTCTTAATTTGACCAATGAAAGAGTGTTTCAAATAGTGAGGAAAAAAATAAATGGTGAATACTGTGCGAAGAAACGAATTCAACATTACTTGCTGATGAATATAATATAAATCATTACGGTTTTATTCCACAAAATATTTAAAAACATGAAATAACAATATGGTAGGTTGTACATAGATATCGATGAGTAGCAACATCACATTTTATCAGGAGCGAACATCAATAATAACTCTAGAGAGTTCCAATCACCACACTCGCATATATAACCAGTTACCTATAACCAATAACCATAAAACCGTGTCATGATTATTACCTAGTTCTGTGCAATGTTTTTTTGTAATATTGGTGTTTACTCATAATTCAACAGGGCTACTTCCTTGCGATATCACACTAAGTTATCTATCCACGCATGAATCTTGGGGTCCTCATGTTTTTGTCGAGCTCTGTTCAAGGTTAACCAGTTTCGTCGTCTTTAGACGTTTTTATCAAACATTGTTCTCTGTACAACGTTTTAACTTTTGATAAATCTCTATTTACAGGCTGTATACTGTATAATTTTACATAAACCATCCAATTTGAAAAGTAGCCTGGACAACATTTTAAAAGTAACACGTATGTTGCCTACACTTTCTTGATTTTAATGTCATTTTTATCCTGCTAATACAATATTTGTGTTAATTAATTATTGTCGAATAAATGAAGTAGCTAAAATTCGGAAAGTATTTACATACCTATACATCTATGTAGCTATAAATGTATAAAAGTTAACCAACTTTTGAATAGAGTCACGGAACAGTTACGTGACAATAAGTACGTCAGCATTATAATAATTTCCACCTAGTAAAGTTCCTTAAAAAGCAACATTTTCCTTCTTTACTTACATACATTACAGTACAATTCTCACTGGACATTCAACGCGACATGACAATTTCATTGTCCAAGCTGACACCCTTCCTTGTTACCACATATCTACGTATTCGTAAGATTTGATCGAGATATGCGCTTAACCAGTCTTGGTTTTGCAATTTAGTTGCAAAGATTATTTTTAGTAAATGTGACCTGCAGATGCGTCGCTACCTTCCTCGCCACTCTACCTACCTACTTACTTTAAAATAAGATTTATGTCCCATTTCAATGATTACATATTTGTCGGGAATATAAAGTATTGGATAGTATTGTTGCTTAAATTCTACACACTTTATAAATAACACATTATCAACTATTCTATGTTTATTAAGGATAATATGTTTCTTTACATAAATGGTCTGCATGTTTTCAATTAGGTTAAGGTAAACAATTTCTGTTCAATATA